TCAAATTTTTATTTTGTATTTGCTGAAAAATCTCTTTTTAGACTTATTGGGACATAGATTTTTATTGTTTATTATTCCTGTGCATATATAAAAAGGAAAAAATTCCTGGGGAAAAAAAAAAGAAAAATATAGTAGAACCCAGTCCGTATGTATTAGTAATGTGACAGTTTAAAAAGGTTTCCAGATTTCTAAAAATTTGCCTAACTGCTAGGGATCTAGCTCAGAGTAGAGCTCTTGCCTAGCATGTGCAAGGCCCTGGGTTCTGTCCCCAGCAGAAAACACACACATACATTTAATAGGATTGGGGATATAGCTTAGTAGCAGAGCACTTGCCTAGCATGTGTGAGACGCTGGGTCCCATCCCAGCACTACAGAAAAAAAAAAAAAATCTTTTTTTAATGCTACCTGAACAAATTATGAGATAATAAGTGTGTGTAGTGCTTAAGCCAATAATTGTGGGGGCAGTTTTTTGCACAGAAATTAATAACTGAACAATGCATGTATGTTTTTAAATTGTTGTACCTTCTTAGCAAATTAGACCTTATTATTTAGTTATCTTCTAATCTTTAAGTTTTTCTCTTGAACACAGGTTTATCTGAGTAACAAAATTATACCAGCTTTTTTTTTTTTTTTTTTGGTATTTGTGTGGTGTAACTCAACTTTCAACGTTTTGTATGTCCTTATATTATGTCTCTAATAAACACCATGTCTGGATTTTGCTATTTAAACCAATCCATCAATCTTTATATTTTTTACTAGTGAATTTAGTCTGTTTACATTATTATAATTATTGGTAATACTGATATATTTGAATCATTTTGCTATCCTAAATTATTTGTCCCATTTTTCCGGCCTCTCTATAAGATTTTTACTTGACAAAAAGCCATATGTATTAACCCAAATAATGAAGAAAAAAAAAAAAACAATAGCACACTCTTATATCACTCTCTCCTGGCTCCAACCTCCCTCATGTTTATTTTCTAGAATAGATCTATCAGAAAGAGAGGGGCAGGTGTCACAGTGGCATGCAAATATAGTCCCAACTATTTGGGAGGTTGAAGCAGGAGGATCACTTGAGTCCAGGTGTTTGGGGTGGAAGGAAGGAAGTAGAAAAGGAGGGAACTATTCAATAAGTGATTTTGGAAGAGCTGTCTGTTGGCTAACTACATGATCTGACTCCCTTCGCACCTTTCTAACTACACTTTCCTTTCCTTACTCTACTTCAGTTATATTATCCTTCCTGTTTAATGAATTTACCAAGATTTTTTCTTTTTTTTTTTTTTTGCTTTAAGATCTTTTGAAATTGCTTTTCTCTTTGCCTGAAATGCAGGCTTTCCCTTACCATCCTATGCTAAGATTGTGCTGCAGCCTGTTCATATCCACTCACAAGAGACAGTTGTGTGCATCTCTTCTCAAAACAATTTTTACTGTATTCACATAAGTAGTTTGAAATCGGTTATGTGTGAGTAATTACCCTACAGAAATTGGCAGATATTATAAATCTGGGATAGGTTGCTTGGTTGGTTTTTATTCTGGAGAGCCTGCTTTAGAAGACACTAATGATTTTGATTAAAGTTGCCCTCCTCCCAATCCCCCCAGTCATGGTCTACCCCAGTACCTGTTACATTATTTTCTTCATTGAATTTAGCACTTCTTGAAATGCTTTTTAAACTTGTATATTTTCTGTCTTCTGCAACTTCAATATAGGCAGAGTGAAAGCAGGGTCTCATTGCCTTGTCTACTACTATATCTCCAGAATAGCACCCAGCACATTATAGAAATTTAATAAATATTTGATTTAATTGAATAAATGAATCATTCAGAAGTGGTAATCATTTAAACTGTGTCATTCAGTAGCCACTAGAGAAAGAAAGAAATTACATTTTCCTTTTTTTAATATTTTTTTTTATTTTGGAAAATACCAAAGGTATAGAAAAGTGGAATACCTTAATGAACTTCCATAAACCCATTACCCAGCTTTAGCAGCATTTCCAAGCTTTTCACACTTCCACTTATATTTTTCCTACAATATTTTTTTCTCCAGATTTTTTATTGGTGCATGATAATTATGCAAAATGATGGGATTCATTGTTATATATTTGTATACAATTTAACAATATAATTTGGTTAATTTTGTCCCACAGTACCTCCCCTTTTCTTCTCCTCCTCCTTCTTGATCTTCTTATATTCTACTAGTCTTCCTTATATTTTTATGAGATTCCCCCACCCCCTTTTTTTCCTCTAGCTTCTACATTTGAGAGAAAGCATCATACCCTTGACTTTTTAAAAATATTTTTTGGTTGTAAATGGACACAATACCTTTATTTTATTTTATTTATTTTTATGTGGTACTAAGGATCAAACCCAGTGCCTCACATGTGGTAGGCAAGTGCTCTACCACTGAGCCACAAGCCCAGCCCTGACCCTTGACTTTCTAAGTCTGGCTTATTTCACTTAACATGTGTTCTCAAGTTCCATTCATTTTCCTTCAAATGGCATAACTTTATTTTATTTATAACTGAATAAAACTCCATTCTGTATATACACCACATTTTCTTTATCCATTCATCCACTGACAGACACCTAGGCTGCTTCCATAATTTGTTGTGAATTGTGCTGCTGTAAATATGGGTGTACATGTATCACTGTAGTATGCTGCCTAGAATATTAAAGAAAATCCCAGACATCAAATGGTTTTACGTACCCCCTTAAAAAATACTTGGTATGTATTCAGATTTCTCTGTTTCGAAAGTATCTTTCTATATTTGAATTGTTTATGTCAGAATCTAGCAAGGTTCACATCTTTTAAAAAAAAAATGTTTTCACAATACCTTTATTCTATTTATTCATTTGTATGTGGTGCTGAGAATCGAACCCAGGACCTCACACACGCTAGGCAAGCACTCTGCTGCTGAGCTATAGCCCCAGCCCCAAGGTTCACATCTTAATAATTGATTGTTATATCTCAAATCTGTGAGAGTTCACTTTTTTTGGTTAATGACATTTGCTGAAGAAATAATATTTGTCATGAATTTGATGATTATATCCTTGTGGTGGAATTTATTTAACATGTTCATCCTTTGTGGTGTGTGTATATGTGTGCATGTGTTTGTGTGCAAGAGAAAACTGGTAGTTAGATGTGCAGGCTTAATTAGATTCAATTTCCATCCTTTTCATAATATAGCATAGGTTGTACAGTGTGCTTTTCATTGTGTTACAGTAAGACATTGTCTTGTCCTACTTTCAGTGGGCTCTATACCACCCTGGTCCACCAATTGTAAGGTTCTGCCTCAGCCCTTTCCCTAATGATTTTAGCAACTATTGATAATCCTTCCCTAGATCTATTATTTTCAAAGGGGTTGCAAATTATTCTCTTTTTTTCTAAGTCTTATCATTCCATCTATCATAAATTAGCTACAATGCTTCTAAAGTGAAGTTTTCTTTTAGCAGTTTAGATATCCTGAAGTACAGTTGGAATAAGAAAGAGAGTGTAATTACTTGATTCTTTCCTTCTACTGTTTTTCAGAGTTCTGTGTTGTTTTATTAACAACTCTGCAAAGGTGATTAATTTTTTAAATTATCATTTTGGATACTTCTTTTGTCTKCATTTCRGATCATTTCTTTTTTTTAGTACTTATCCCACTTTTGGCCACTAGGACTCCTTATTTTTCTATTCTCTCCTGCTAGATTATATAACTTTTACACAATGAAAAACAAAGTTAAGGAGATAATCAACACAAATTTTGCTGTCTTGGGCGCTCAGTATTTTTTTTTCTTCACAGCTGGTTCATCAAATTTCCACTGAGTGCCTCTTTTAATATTAAAAAAAAAGTGGAAGAAACTCCATACATGGTGGCACATGCCTATAATCCCCAGCTACAGGAGGCTGAGGCAAAAGGATGACAAGTTTGAGGCCAGCCTAAGTAACTTAGCAAGACTTGGTTCCAAAATAAAATTTGAAAGGGCTGGGGGTATAGCTCACTGGTAGAGTAATTGCCCATCATGTACAAGACCCTGGATGCAATACATAGTACCAAAAATAAGCAAATAAGTCAGAGAGCTTTTTCTTTCCTTATTTACAGTAACAGTGTTATTTCAGTTAGCTTTTTTGCTGCGGTGACTAAAAGACCTAACCAGAACAATTGTAGAGGAGGAAAAGTCTGTTTGGGGGCTCATGGTTTCAGAGATCTCAGTACATAAACAGCCGGCTCCATTCCTTGGGACTCCAGGTGAGGCTGAACATCATGGTGGAAGAGTGTAGCAGAAGGAAGCAGCTCACATGATGAGAGAGAGAGAGAGAGAGAGAGAGAGAGAGAGAGAGAGAGAGAGAGAGAGAGAAAGAGAGAGAGAGACTGACTTCATTCAGAGAGAGAGAGAGAGAGAGAGACTGACTGACTGACTTCATTCACCAGATACAAAATATATACCCCAAAGGCATGCCCCTAATGACCCACCTCCTCCAGACAACTTTACCAGCCTCAGCTACCACTCACTTAATCCCATCGGAGAATTAATTCATTGATTGGGTTAATGCTGTCATAACCCGATCATTTGTCCTCTAAACCTTACATTGTCTCATACATGAGCTTTTGGGGGACATATCACATCCAAACCATAACTAGTGTGTAAAGTAGCCCAGTACTGTATTGTACATTGAGTAGGCACTTAATAAATGTATTTTTTTTTCTCATCCTGGAATGAGGCAACTTTAGGAATGAGTCATTATAGGCTAGAATCCTCAAAGTATAGTGTCTCCAAAGGTTTTTTTTTTTTTTTTTTTGTATCAAAAAAAGGAATGACCCACATTTATTTATTAAAGATTTTCTTTTACTCCTTTTGGAAAGATAGCCACATTTTCCACGCAATGCTGATTGAATTCTGTTACATTAAATCTGAATGTGAAAATTAGTTATATTAATACAGAGGCAACACACAGGTATTTGGTACTGATACTTCTTCAATGCTAATGAGAAACTAACTTGGTTTACCCTTTGTTCCAGATGATGGGCATAAGAAAGCTCGAAATGCTTACCTCAATAATTCCAATTTTGAAGAAGGAGATGAATATTTTGATAAAAACTTGGCACTCTTTGAGGTAATACTTTGGAGAAAACTATGGACAGAGACTTAAGGAACAGAAATTTCAAGATAAGCCATTTTCTGTCCCATTTGGTTTTAAAATAGTACAAACTGGATAATATAATAAACAATGTTAAAATAAAATATAGTAGTTAGGGCTGGGGTTGTGGCTCAGTGGTAGAGCACTTGCCTAGCACATGTGAGGCACTAGGTTCAATTCTCAGCACCACAAAAATAAATCAATAAATAAAGGTATTGTGTTCATCTACAACTAAATTTTTTCTTAAAATACAGTAGTTATTGTTATAACTTGTAATTGTTAATTTTGTCTGTATAATCTAATTGTAGCATGTACCCATTAAATCACATTTCTATGAAGTAAGGGAGAAAAGTCACATGAAGAATGTTGCAGTCTAGCTTTTCTATGATTTAAATATTTACATTGGAATAATTTTCTAAGTATAAAGCAGTGTATTTCTTAATGCTGTTTGAGGAAAGTGTTATTTATCTTATAATTAAACAAAAACCACTGAGGAAGAGGCTGTAAGTTAAGTAGGACCTATATATCCTCTTAACAAATAACTGTATATATTTGGAGGGTAAAAATATGATATTTTGATTTATTGGGAAGTGTTTTAATCAAGCTAATTAACATGTCCATCACCTTATACACTTATTTTTTATAGTACAAACCTTGAAATTTTTTTAAGTTATTTTGAAATATATATTATTATTAACTGTAGTTACCATGTTGTGTAGTAGATCTGAAAACATTCCTTCTGTCTAACTGAACCTTTATGCTTTACCCTGTGACTAACATCTCCCTCTTCTGCCCTCAGTCTCTGGTAGCCACCATTCTACTCTATAAGTTCAACTTTTTTAGATTATGCATATAAGTAAGGTCATGTGGTATTTGTCTTATTTCACTTAGCATAATGAAAAGGACTTAGATAAGATTATCTAAGATAAAATATAATCTAATTATATTTTTACTATGTGTCTTATAGGTTAAGGACAAACGTTTGTGATTAAACAAAATATTCACCTCAGACCTTTGTTTGAAGGAAGCTGAAAGGAAATACTATTTTAAAAAAATATATTAGGAGATATGACACTTGAATCACTGTCCAAAGCCAGACAAAGGTGGTGGTAGAATAATTACCATATGGCTGGGGATATAGCTCAGTGGTAGAGCATTAGCTTAGTATGCACGAGACCATGGGTTCCATCCCTAGCACAGCAAATAAATAAATAAATAAAATGATAGTAATTGCTATAAATGTTAGTAGCCCCCACAAAAGGGGGTGTTATAGTTAAGGATCATATTACCAATATTCTTTTCTAGGTTGCATTATTTTGTTTGCACTGTAAATAAAGTTTCATAGCTACTATAAAGAATAATGAGTTTTCATTTAAGAGTGTTATATGTAGGGGATTGAGGGTATAGCTCAATGTTACAGCACTTGCCTAGCAAGCATGTGGTCCTGGGTTTGATCACCAAAACCACAAAATAAAATAAAAATTTCTAAGCATAAAACAGCATGGAGTGTCTTCAAAAAATTAAAAATAGAATTCTTACATGATCTAGCAATTCCACTTCTGGGTATATATTCCAAAGGAAATGAAATCATTATGCCAAAGAGATATCTGCACTCCCTATTCATTATAGTATTATTCACAATAGCCAAGACATGTAATCAACTCTTAAGTATTCTCAATGGACAAATGGACAGAGAAAATATGGTATACATACACAATGTAATAGTTTTCTATTTACATAAAAAAGAAGGAAATCCTGTCGTTGGTCACATGGATGAATCTGGAGAACCTTATATTAAATAAAATGAGCCATGCACAGATAGACAAATACTACATAATGTCTATTTATACAATACTACTTAATGTGGAATCTGAAAAAGTCAAACTCATAGGGAAGTACAAAACAGAATGGTAGTTACCTGGGGCAGAGATAGGACTGACAGGGAGATGTTAGTCATAGAGTATAAAGTTTTAGTGAGACAGGAGGAATAAGTTTTTCAGATTAGTTTATATAACATTATGACTATAGTAAATATATTCTCAAAAATTGCTCAAGAGGGCTGGGGCTGTAGCTCAGTGGCAGAGCACTTGCTTAGTATATGTAAGGCACTGAGTTTGATCCTAAGCACCATATAAAAAATAAATAAAATAAAGGCATTCTGTCCATCTACAACTAAAAAAAAAAAAACTTTTTAAAAAAATTTCTCAGCAGATTTTAAATGGTCTCACCACAAAAAAAATATTTGAGGCAATGTATATGCTAAGTAGCTTGATTTAATCTTTTCACAATGTATGCACATTTCAAAACATGTTACCCATAAGTACATAAAATTTTAATTTATCCCTTAAAAAATAATTTTATAAGGATTTAGTGACCTGATTAATTAAATACTGCTTTTTGTTTTGTTTTTATTTTTTGTGGTGCTGGGTGACCAAACCCTGGGCCTTGAACATGCAAGGCAAGTACTCTATCACTGAGCTACATTTTCCAGCTCCTTTGTGATCTTTTAAATATGAGGGACAAATAGTTTCATTAATAAATTTTCTTAAAATATTTACATGTGAAATATTTTCTCATTTTCTTTGCAGTTTTATGGTCGAAAGTTTATTTTGATCCTTATTGTCAGTGTTCTTCACAACTCATTTCTTCCATATTTCTGACTTTACAGGAAGAAATGGACACCAGACCGAAAGTATCTTCTCTCCTTAACCGCATGGCCAATTACACTAATCTAACACAAGGAGCAAAGGAACATGAAGAAGCAGAAAACATCACTGAGGGGAAAAAGAAGCCCACCAAGGTGAGGCCTTGGAATAACAAGGATAAATTTTAAAAGCCCTATACATAAGAAAGGGGGAAAGATCCATGGCATCATTCTGTGTTCAATAATTATTTATTAAATGCTTGATATATGATCAGAACTATTCTGGGCACTGTTGTCAGCACAGGCAGTACATGTGGTGTCCCTGCTGTTATGTAGGGAGATAGTCCTTCAACTGTTGTAACTCTGTTAAAGTATATTACATATTAAGTGTTGATTAATGCTTTTAAAAGTTTAATTAAGGTTACAGAGACTAAGACTGATAAAGGAGCCAGACAGATGAGTTTGCTAATTGAGGTAAGCTGGACAGAGAAAGTCCTTCTGAGAAGGTGATATTTGAACAGAGACCTAACTAATAGGAGGGAATGAGCCATGTGGGAGCAAATAGCATATCAAGTGTGTCCACACACATCTGCCAAAGCCATCTATCTGTAGTGAAGCGTTTTTTAAATACTAAATACCAGTTTTTCTTAAATATGAGACAATATGTATAATTTAACATTCTAATTGTTCAGCTCTTTGAAAGGGATAAAATGATCTTCATTTTTCCATCTGTTTCATTTTCTAACTACTATAATGAATTTTACCCAATTCGAAAGGATTTCCATGAGGACATCATTCCGTTTTTAAATGAAAAGAGAAATCTAACAGCTCTAAAGAACAGAAATTTTTAAATTGTTGAGGGCCACATTCCTGAATATAATAAACACAGGAGAACCTAGGCAAAATAAAAATGTATATCTCTAAGAATATTAGAAATACAGTGACAGACCTTTCTAGAGATTTATATGTGCCTTTTTGAAGATATTACTTAAATTTATTATCTCTGCTTTAAGATAAACATGGTCATTAGGAAGCAAGTTTTTATAGAAAAGATTAAAAAATAAAATGGTAGCAAATTGCAAAAAAGAAAAGTAAAAGAATAAGAACATCTCATGGCTGACTATATAATTTTTCTTTTGTCTATATCTTTCTTTCCAGACTCCCCAAATGGGTACTTTCATGGGTGTCTACCTCCCATGTCTACAAAACATTTTTGGAGTAATTCTCTTTCTACGCCTTACATGGGTGGTGGGCACAGCTGGAGTTCTTCAGGCATTTGCAATTGTCCTTATCTGCTGCTGCTGTGTAAGTCCCACATTGGCTTTTGGAAGTCACTTAGGGCACTTCGAGTTCTCAGGAGTGTATGCACTTGACTTCTTTGGGAATAAAATAAAGAATACTTGGAAAGAATCATGATCTCAACAGTAGGATTATTCTGATATTAAATGATTTTCATTTATTTAGTGTCTGTTATTCACCGATGTACTAGAAATTACAAAACAAGACCTCAAGTGGAAGTAGAAGATAAAAGTCCCTATCTTCAAAGAATTCAGAATCTAAATAATTGGAGCTTAATAACACAAAAGTTTTGACAGAAGATGTTTTAGAAAACATCTTCTTTGATGAACTATTCCAATATGTCCTGAAAAAAAATACTGACAATTATTTGAGTGGGGGTGAGGTGTATCTGGTTTGGGTTTGGTTTAGTTTTGAAGTCTCTTCCAAAAGGGAAGAGACTTTCCTAGAAATTCAGTTGTTCTTTCCAGGTCTTCTTTCCTTCTATATTGAGAACATCCTGATCTTCCACTAACTTAAACTCCTATTTTTATGTATCCCAGCCATACTTATCAATTTTATTATAGGTTTCTACTGTCGTCTTTTATTCCTGTCACCATTATGCCCTTCCAGTGCATCATGCTTAGCTGAGTAGTTGAGTATTATACAAAGCAGGTTAAGTGGATATAGTCCATATCATTAATAACTTAATGGTACTACCTTTTTTTTCTTTTCAGTTTCACAGACTTGAAATGTCAATACCATATTTTTGACTCCTTGGTTGCCTTTTATATCTAATCAGCTACAAAGAGCAATCACTCTCTTAAATTTCTTAGGTGCAACCCTTCCTTTTCATTTACACTACCACCATTGCAGTTTTATTCCTCACTTAACTTATGGAGTAGCCTACTAACCAGTCCCTCTGCCTCCAGGTACTCCCTATCTGCAGGCCATTCTACATTCTGCTACTAGGTAATGTTTTTAATCAGTTCTTAGATGCTCAAAAAGTTTTCGTCAGTTCTTTCTTATTGACTGTTGTTCTTGGTATCATAGCTACAAAATAGCTTGGTATCATAACTGTAGTCAGGTTCTAAGCTATTTTCCAAAATTTTTTCCATAGTAAATTCTTTTTAATTTACTCTTTTGAATTTGCTATGTAGGCTTTGTTTTCTGTTTAATTAGGAGATCCAGGGTGGGATCAGTTATTCTTAATAGCATCTTATCTACTGAGTACAATGTTAAGGACATATTAACTGTACATGCCAAATAACAGTAGTGTGATTAGTGTAATGAGTTGAATGAGTTGAACCATATTGTCGCATTTCCAAACCATTAGGTATACAGCAACTTCTCCCATAAAAGTAAAAATAGTTAAATGTTTAATACATGCCTTGAGGGCTATAGATAGGAAAGTATTATAGAAATTTCAGTCTTGYCCCATAACAATATTCTCCTTTCTCTTTCTCTACAGACAATGTTGACTGCTATCTCCATGAGTGCCATTGCCACTAATGGAGTAGTGCCAGGTCAGTAGGCCAAGCTTGGATTTCAGTGATTGTTGGTGATTACTGTATGCATAAAGCCAGAGGTGCAAACTTCCAAGGAACAGAATACTCTTTAGGCTGTTGTCCTATACTACAATAGAGTTAACAGTCTACAGGTCATAGAAACTAATACTGTTTGACCTTAGGGTACCTTCTTTAAAATTTATTTTCTAGACAGTTGCTTTAATTTCAGTCACACTCTTAGCTTCTTCTAGTTAGAATGTATTTTATTAGACAATCTCATATCTGAAGTAAAATCCCTAATTTCTTCCTTATACTGGCATTAGATGTCAATATATATCCTACAATCAAGGCTTTGTCTATTACTTCCCTCTAGCAAATCTTTTTTTTTTTTTTCACATTTAGGATTTTCAAAAGCTTGAGACATTTGAAGGATCATGTGTATGTTTATTGTTCCTATTAATAACTTTTTATATTCCTTTTACTAATACTTTCTCTTTATCCTGTTCATCTTCTATTTTGTCTTTTAGCTGGGGGCTCATACTTTATGATTTCCCGGGCACTGGGTCCCGAGTTTGGCGGGGCTGTCGGCCTCTGCTTTTATCTTGGTACCACGTTTGCAGCAGCCATGTACATCCTTGGTGCCATTGAAATTTTTCTGGTAAGTAATGTCTTAACTTGTAGTCTACAGTATAGAAAAGATATAGATTTGGGCTTATTTTGTTATTCAGTATCAGTGTTTCAAGACATCAGTTATGGAAATCAATGAGGTGGTTACTAGCTCATTTCTTGGTTCTCACTATGAATGGGAGGCAGAAAAGTTGAGGTATTCTTTGCCGGCTTATCCCTTCCCTCCACTTGATCACTGCCACTCTGCTGCCTCAGTCAAGGAGTTAATGTCTAATTAATTAATTGAAACAGGAGGCAAAACAGTGCCAATGGGGAAATAGTAAAATGCAGCTTTTTAAATATATATATAATAAATATATTAAATATATAGAAATAAATAAAAATATATCTCCCAGTGAAATAAAATGTTTCAATTTCTCTATTCACTGAGACATATTTTTTTTATTTACAGTAATGATAGAAGAAGCAGGGCTCAAAATAAAAATTATTTTATATATTCCTTTGAATAAAAAATATCAACTTGTTCCTTTTTTCCATTTGGAAATATAATTATTCAAGGAAAAAAAATTCATGATATCCCACTTCTATAGGCATTTTAGATCCAAATAGGAATTAAGCTAATTCTCCAGTCATTTTTTGTTTTAGCTTTGCTTTTCCTTCAGGTCTTTTATGTGATTATTTCGAAATGACCTCATTTTCTACTTTTTTTGGCCTACCAGGTATATATCGTCCCCCGGGCTGCCATCTTTCGCAGTGATGATGCACTCAAGGAATCAGCAGCCATGCTAAATAACATGCGTGTCTATGGCACAGCCTTTTTGGTCCTCATGGTATTGGTGGTTTTCATCGGCGTACGCTATGTGAACAAGTTTGCCTCACTTTTCCTGGCCTGTGTCATTGTGTCCATTTTGGCCATCTACGCTGGAGCCATCAAGTCTTCTTTTGCCCCACCACACTTCCCGTATGTCTGTCTCTTGGCCTAGTCATCACTGGGTAGTCATTGACAGTATCTGATGATGTGATAATTTAAATCAGAATTTCATGGAGTCACCTGAGATTTCTCTGTTGGCCCAGTTATCTGTCAGGAAGCCTCCCAGAAAATTAAGTCCTGTTGATCATCTTCCTTATGCCTAAGCATAAAATTAGCAGATATGGTCATCATTCAAATAAATATTAGGTTTTCTTCACAATAGTAGTGATTGCACTTATTAGAACTATTCATGAAGGACTTTAAAAATGTAGTCATTGCCAGCAAACTTTAAGGTATTTAATTTTGTTGAAAAATCAATAATCAAAAGAACTCTAAATTGTTTAATTAATTAATTTTTTATCCTATCTTAGAATAAATTCCTGCTAAAAATTTATAGTTATAAAATAAACAGAGGGCTGGGGATGTGGCTCAAGCGGTAGCGCGCTCGCCTGGCATGCGTGCAGCCCGGGTTCGATCCTCAGCACCACATACCAACAAAGATGTTGTGTCCACCGAAAACTAAAAAATAAATATTAAAATTCTCTCTCTCTCTCTCTCTCTCTCTCTCTCTCTCTCTCTCTCTCTCTCTCCCTCCCTCCCTCCCTCCCTCCCTCTCTCCTCTCTCTCTTCTCTCTCTCTCTCTCTCCTCTCTCTCTCCTCTCTCTCTCTCTCCTCTCTCTTTAAAATAAAATAAAATAAACAGAGCCAGGAATAGTAGCACTCTCCTATAATCACAGCGACTTGAGATGCTGAGGCAGAAAGATCACAAGTTTTGAGGGTATTTGTAATCTTAGTTTTTTGAAAATAATTTGAAGAATTATCTGGATTCTCTAGAAATCAAACTCCTTAGTTCTATGTTGATTTAACAAGAATACAGAAAAATTAGGGTTTTTTTTAACTCTTTTTTTTCTGAACACAATATCTTTATTTATTTTCATATGGTGTTGAGGATTGAATCCAGTGCCTCACACATGCGAGGCAAGCGCTCTACCACTGAGCTACAACCTCAGCCCCGAAAAATTGCTTTTATATGTTGAAAAAAAATAAAAACAGGTCCAGTGAAGTTAATGACTTTGCCCCCAAAATAATTAATGTCAGAGCAAGAAAACAAACCTGATTTCCCAACTTTGGTCCAGTATTACTTCTTTGTCATGCTACATGATGTCAGTAACAAATTCCATCAAAAAATTTTCTTCTGTTTATTAGGTACTATAAAATAGCTAAAGATCTTTTTTAGAGGCATAGAAGTTCTAAAGGCAATATTATTCTGCGTCTTACCTTGGGAAATTTCATTTTGCCTCAGGTTATCCTTTGGGGTTTCTTAACCCATCTTTTTTGGTTAATAAAAAAGTCATAATGCATGGTATTTTCTTTAAAATTCAGCAAAACAAAATGAAAAACCTAGAGAAATACCTAAAACAAAACTGGGAACTGTTGAGAGTTGTTGAATTTGAGTAACAGGTATATGGAAGAGAGAGAGAGTGTGTGTGTGTGTGTGTGTGTGTGTGTGTGTGTGTGTGTGTATAATCACTTTGTAGTTTTTAAAAGTTCTACCTAATAGGTATTTTAACCATGGGTATATTTAGTCTTTATTTGTATTAATTTTTCTGGATAGAAGAAAAGTAAATTAGGAAGAAAAAATATTTATATTACCTTTAAATATCCTCTCTCCCACTGGGTCTAGGCTTATGTTCAAAAACAGTTTTCTTTTAGGCCACAGAGGGATGTGCTTTTTAATTTTAGACAACCTGTCTTCCTCACAACCATAACCAGAAGGTTTAACGTTTCCAAGAGGATGTTAAGAATTTAAGACTTTACTAAGCGAAAAATGAAAAAAAAAAAAAAGACCATTTTAAAAATAAGAATGAAAAGATTCTAGGATTCTTTCTGATTTAACAATTGATTTGTAGCCTAAAATTTTTTGGAAGATGAGTCAGCATACTGTCTTCTGATTGTTCTTGTTTGAGTTGTATCGCTGCCACCAATCACTTGTATGACCTTGGGCAAAATATTGTATTGCCTTAAACTTCAGTTCCTCCATCCACAGAACAGAAATATTAATACATTGCAAGATCCCTATAAGGATTATTTGGTGGTAACTATAAGTCATCATTCACAATGCTACTCAATAAATATCATTTCCTCTCCTACCTATGACAGAATAAGCTCTCACTACTGAGATTTTTTTCCCCTTTACTGACATGTTTCCTTTTTTAAAAATGTGTGTGTGAGTTTTCTTGTTGATCTTCTCCCCATTTGTTTTCACTTAGGGTTTGCATGCTGGGTAATCGTACCCTTTCATCAAGACACATTGATGTTTGCTCTAAGACCAAGGAAATTAACAATATGACGGTACCATCAAAGTTGTGGGGATTCTTCTGTAACTCGAGTCAATTTTTCAATGCTACCTGTGATGAATACTTTGTTCACAATAATGTCACTTCAATCCAGGGCATTCCTGGGTTGGCTAGTGGTATAATTACAGGTAAGTTAGTGGGTTGTTAGACATGTTTTTATTCTTCTCTTAGGAAAACAGACTTTTTTTCATATTATATTCTTTTATTGTCCATGAAGACATATGGCCATGATGGGACTTCCTGTCTTAAGCTCTCAGCACACAGCTCTTAATTCAATATATTTCTACTTTCCTCTTAGAAAAATTGTCTTAAGACTCCCTTGCAGAGTGTTATCTATTAAAATATATGTCCCTCTGAGGACAGAGATGACTAAAATATTTTGTGGATATTCTCTGTCTGCTGTCTGTGTCTCTGTCTTTCTGTCTCTCTCTCTCTCTCTCTCTGCTTCTGGCTCTGAGACAGGGTCTTGCTATGTTCTGCAGTCTGGCCTCCAACTTCTAGGCTCACATGTTCCTCCTGAACGATCTTCTCTGTAGCTGGGGCTACAGGCACATGCCACCACACCCAGCTTTGTGTATTCCTGAAAAATTGCCAGTGTTCCCCCTGCAGTGACAGTTAAAATAGAACTGTTTTAATGTCACTACATCCACACATGTGTTTTCCTAACTCAGCTAAATTCTCAAAACTCTCGTTAAGTGACATCTACTTTAAATGTTTGGTTCATGAATTCTTTGCATGTTAAACAAGCTCACACTAAAGTGTTAGAAATAGTTTTGATAACTAATAAAAAAAATAATGGACTTTGTGAGATGTTCAGTTTGACTGCATTGTTGTATCAAAGCATTTTGTCAAGTTATATTTAAATTAAGTGAGAAAAGGCATTATGTTTTTATTTATGTGTATTTTATTCTGCGGTGTTTATTTATATGCTAAAATTTAAGAAACAGTCAGCCCTTTTAAAACTTTGATAAGGGGATGGGGTTGTGGCTCAGTGGCAGATTGCTTGCCTGGCATGTGTGAGGCACTGGATTTGATTCTAAATAAATAAATACTATATGAAAGCAAAGTCTGATTTTTAATATCGTTTGGGTAGGAAATTACCTAATTATATTCTTACCATACTGCTGTTGCCTATATTCTCTTTTTTTCCCACTGCAGAGAATCTTTGGAGTAATTATCTACCCAAGGGAGAGATCATTGAAAAACCCTCAGCCAAATCATTTGATGTCTTGGGAAGTTTAAATCATGAGTATGTTCTTGTTGATATTACCACCTCCTTCACACTCCTAGTGGGGATCTTCTTTCCCTCTGTCACAGGTAAGCAGATACACTGTTTTATATTTTAAAAGCTGTCAGACCTACAGAGTGATTTTTTTTTTCCTAAAGAGACAGAATTATATTTTCAAGGTTCCTCAATTTGCCTTTGTCTTGGGTATTAATATGAATATCAAGGTTTCCAGGAGCTGAAGAAATTAACTTGGGCTTTCCCCCCACTCTAAAAGGTATCATGGCTGGTTCTAATAGATCTGGAGATTTGAAAGATGCTCAGAAGTCTATTCCCATTGGAACTATCCTTGCCATCCTGACTACGTCCTTTGTCTGTATCCTTTTCATGAGTCTTAGAGGAACATCCAGTAGAAGTAGGACAATCAGTGCTTTTACAGTGAATAAAATGATCTCCTTCTATGACCTCACTAATTACTAGATGATCTACCTACCTTATATGAAAAATTCAAGAAGAATTTTATAGGGTTAGTATATTTAGCCACTCATTTTATTGATAGGAAAAATAATGCTGAGTGTCTACTTCTTATCTGATGTTAGAAGATAAACAGCAGTTTCCTTGACTAAGTGTGGTAGATTTAAGCAACGTTATCCTTTTTGGTGCGTGTATTGAAGGTGCTGTTCTCAGAGACAAGTGAGTAGTTAATTTCTTTGTAATAATCATATGTCTCTTCTATGACATCTGATCATCCAACAGAGCTCCAAGACAGTTGTAATCTCAAAAATCCATCCAAAGGTATAAATCATGACTAACAATAAGAAAATGTATGTATTGAATTGTAAGTTAAGACCACTAATAGCACACTTGCCTAACGTGTGCAAGAACCCTGGGTTCTAATCCCCAGCACTTAAAAGAAAATATATGCATATAGTTTCCCAAAATATTAATGAATAATAAGGATCAGTGTGTTATAAATATGTGTGATGCAATGAATATCACTCTTCAAAAAAAGCAGTGAATTTGCCTGAATAAGTATTTCCTTATACAGTTTAAAAACTGTTGGGAAAATAGTCCAGAAAAGTATGGAAGAGCAAATAAAACAAAACAACTTTGAAGTGTCTAGCATTTCCTTTGTGAGATAATTGTTTGTCATTTTAAATAAAAGCTGTTAATTTTTTCTTTCCTCTGTGAATGCTGCTGTTTTGTTGCCATCTTTTTCTCTTCTCTAAAACAGTGTTTTTGCCAGATAATTCTAAGCAAATATTTCCTTGAAACCTGCTGCTTCTCATGTTTCCCATCTTGGTTAATAGCCTCCCCTTTCACCTCTCTCTCAAGACAGAAATCTAGGTGTCATCCTAGGCTTTTGCCATTAATTCCCTCATTCAGGTGGTTTCTAAGCCCTGTAAATTCCACCCTTTCACTTTAACTGGTCTCATTATTTCCCCTATTCTGTATTCTCATCACTTTGTACTGGCCTTCAGGATTTTTGGCCTATGTTATTTTAATAATCTCCCTTTCAGTTTTACTGCCTTCTAATTACTTTCACACTGCTAGTAGGACAATTTTTCTAAAGCACAAAAATTTGTTCACGTAAATCTCCTTGCTTAGAACTTGCCAAGTTCCCTTAAAATCTATCACTTTGATGAACTGGACTCACTTCTGTAGTCCTAGCTGCTCAGCAGGCTAAGGCAGGGGATCAAAAGTTCTAGGCCAGCCTGGCAATTTAGAGAAACCCTGTCTCAAAAAATCTTACTGGATTAAAGGTGTAGCTGAGGGGTAGAGTGTTTGCCTGGTAAATGTGAGGTCCTGGGTTCAGTCCCTAATACTGCAAAAAATAATTTTAAAAGACAAACACCACTTTGATCTGTACCTTTGCACCTCTTTCTGCTCTTACCTCTCACCATTCCTTCATAAGCTCCCTATGCTCTAGTCGTAATTTAGAGTTACATGTGCTTTATTGTTTCAGATCTCTGTATATATACACCTTTTTCTAATCTGTTTCCTTTGCTTAGAATCAAGTATACCGTGCCCGATTTCATCACTGTTGTTCAACATAGTCCTTGAAACTCTAGCCAGAGCAATTATGCTAAACAAGGAAATTAAAATGATACACATAGAAAAGAAGAGTTCAAATTATCTTTGTTTTATATTTAGAAGACCCAAAAACTTCCACCAGAAGACTTCTAGAATTCACAAATGAATTCAGCAAAGTAGCAGGATACAAGAGCAACACCAATAAATCAATCACATTCTTAGACTCCAACGATGAATCTCCTGAAAGAGAAATTAAGAAAACTATCCCATTCACAATAGCCTCAAAAAAAAATGCTTGGGAATGAATCTAACAAAAGAGATGAAAGGCCTCTGCAATGAAAATTACAGAATACTAAAGGAAAACTGAAGAAGACCTTAGAAGATAGAAAGATCTCCCATGTTCTTGGATAGGCAGAATTAATATTGTCAAAATGGCCATACTACCAAAAGCACTATACAGATTTAATGCAATTCCTATTAAAATTCCAATAACATTCTTAATAGCAAAAGCAGTCATAAAATTTGTTGAGAAAAACAAGAGGCCCAGAATAGCCAAAGSAGTCCTTAGCAAGAAAAGTGAAGTAGAAAGCATCATAATACTAGACCTTAAATTATATTACAAAGCTATAAACAGCATAGTTTTGGCACCAAAACATACATAAAGACCAGTGGTACAGATTAGAAGCAGAGATAAACCCACATAAATACAGTTATCTCATACTACACAAATGTGCCATAAATATACATTGGAGAAAAGGATAGCCTCTTCAACAAATAGTGCTGGAAAAACTGGAAATCCATAGTATGTACTAGAATGAAATTGAATCCTTATCTCTGACACCCTGCACAAAACTCAGCTCAAAGTGGATCAAAGACCTAGGAATTAGACCAGAAACCCTGTGCCTACTAGAAGAAAATGTAGATCCAAGTCTCCATCATGTCAGTTTAGGAACTGAATTCTTCAGCAAGACTTGGAATGGAATCACCATTTGACCCAGTTATCCCATTCCTGGATATATACCAAAAGGACTTAAAAGCAGCATACTATAGTGACACAGCCAAATCAATGTTTATAGCACGCCAATTCACAATAGCTAAGCTATGGAAACAACCTAGATGCTCTTTAACAGATGAATGGGTAAGAAAATGTGGTATATATACACAATGGAATATTACTAAGCCATAAAGAAGAATAAGATTATGGCATTTGCTGGTAAATGGATGGAACTGGAAACTATGATACTAAGTAAAATAAGCCAATCCCCCCCCMMAAAAAAAACCAAGGCTGAGTGTTTTCTCTGATATGCAGATGCTAACACACAAGTGTGGGGGTAGAATTTCATTGGATTAGACTAAGAGGAATGAAAGGAAGGGAGAACATGGGACTAGGAAAGACAGTAGAATAAATTGGACATAACCTTCCTATGTTCATATGTAAATACTCAACCAGTGTAACTCCACATCATGTACAACCACAAGAATGGGAAGTTGTACTCCATGTGGGTATAATATATCTAAATATACTCTACTGTCATGTATATCTAAACAGAAGGGCTGTAGTTGTAACTCAGTGGTAGAGCACTTGCCTAGCATGTGTGAGTCCCTTCGTTCGATTCTCAGCACTACATATAAATAAATGAATAAAATAAAGGTCCATCAAATCTAAAAAAAATTAATAAATAAATAAAACCAAGCAGGTCATACCTTAATATAAAAAAATAAATAAATAAAAAGAAAAGAATTTTAAATCCCTTAAAAAAAAAACAGCATGATACTGGCACCAAAACAAGAAGAACACCAATGGAATAGAAAATAAACCCACTTCAGTACAGTTATCTGATACTAGATAAAGGTGCTAAAAACCTACATTGGAGAAAAGATAGCCTTTAAAAAAAAAAAAAAAGAACAATTGATGCTGGGAAAACTGGAAATCCATAAGTAGAAGAATGAAATTTAACCCTTTTCACCCTGCACAAAATGGAACTCAAAAGTGGATCAAAGATCTAGGAATTAGATAGAAACCCTACACCTGCTAGAAAAAAATGTGGGCCCAGTACTTCAACATGTTGGCTTTGGAACTGACTTCCTCGACAAGACTCCTAGAGCCCAAGAAATAAAATCAAAAGTTAGTCAAATTAAAAAAGCTTCAAAGCAAAGGAAACAGTGCAAAGAGAAAGCCAACAGAATGGGAGAAAATCTTTGCCACCTGCTCCTCAAGTAGGGCACTAATATCCAGAATATATACAAAGAACTCAAAAGAACACCAAAAATTCCCCAGATAACCCACTTAATAAATGGGCAAAGGAACTAAACAGACATTTCTCAAAAGAAGAAATGCAGATGGTCAACAAATATATGAAAAAATATTCAACATCTCTAGAAATTAGAGCAATGCAAATTAACACTACCGTGAGATTTCATCTCACTCCAGTCAGAATGGCAATTATTAAATAGGCAAAGAGTAATGAAGGGAAAGGATAAGGGATAGGATAGGGGAAAACAGTGGGATAAATCTGACCAAATTTGAGAAGGGATCTAAGTGGTGAAGTGCCCCTGAGTTCAATTCCCCAGTATAAAACAAAAAGGAAAAAAAAATGCAGGGCTGGGGTTGTGGCTTAGTGGTATAATGCTTGTCTTACATGTGTGAGGCACTGGGTTCAATCCTCAGCACCACATAAAAGAATAAAAAAAATAATAAAGTTATAAAAAATCATACACAAAATTTCTCACAGTAATAGTATTTTATTTTTATTTTATTTTTTTTTTAGTTTTATGTGGACACAATATCTTTATTTTAAAAGATTGTGGTACTGAGGATCAAACCCAGTGCCTCAAGCATGCTAGGCAAGGACTCTACCACTGAGCCACAACCCCAGACCTATTTTTATTCTTTTAAAAAAAAAATTTTTAGTTGTAGATGGACACAGTACCTTTATTATATTTATTTATTTTTATATGGTGCTGAGGATCAAACCCAGTACCTCACGTGTGCAAGGCAGGCGCTCTGCCACAAAGCCACAATCCCACAGTAATAGTATTTTTTAATTATTTATATATGATACAGAATGCATTACAATTCTTATTACACATATAGAGCATAATTTTTCCTATCTCTGGTTGTATACAAAATATATTCACATCAATTCATGTTTTCATACATGTACTTTGGATAATAATGACCATCACATTCCACCATCATTTCTAACTCCATGCYCCCTCTCCCTTCTCTTCCAACCCCTCCGCCTTATCTAGAGTTCGTCTATTCCTCCCATGCTCCCCCTCCCTACCCCTCTATAAATTAGCCTCCTTATATCAGAGAAAACATTCAGCATTTTGTGATTGGCTAACTTCACTTAGTATGAACAGACACTTCTCAGAAGATATACAATCAACAAATACATGAAAAAATGTTCTTCATCGCTAGCAGTTAGAGAAATGCAAATCAAAACCATTCTAAGATTTCATCTCACTCCAGTCAGAATGGCAGCTATTATGAAGACAAACAACAGTAAGTGTTGGCAAGGATGTGGGGAAAAAGGTACACTCATAACTGCTGGTAGGACTGCAAATTGGTGCAGTCAATATGGAAAGCAGTATGGAGATTTCTTGGAAAATTGGGAATGGAACCACCATTTGACCCAGCTATCCCTCTCCTTGGTCTATACCCAAARGACTTAAAAACAGCATACTACAGGGACACAGCCACATCAATGTTTATAGCAGCACAATTCACAATAGCTAAACTGTGGAACCAACMTAGATGCCCTTTAGTTGATGAATGGATAAAAAAATATATTAAATATACACAGTGGAATATTACTGAGCAATAAAAGAGAATAAAATCATGGCATTTGCAGGTAAATGGATGGAGTTACAGTAATAGTATTTTTAAATACCAAAATCAAAATAATCCAGGTAATGAATAAATTATATATTCATGCAATGGAAAATAAAAGTAAAATAACTGGACTGGGGTTGTAGCTCAATGGGAGAGCCCTTGCCTAGCATGTGTGAGGCTCTGGGTTCATTTGATCCTCAGCACTGCATGAAAATTTCAAAAAGTATGTATCCATGTACAACTAAAAATATTTGTAAAAGGTAAAATAACCACAAGGATATAGGGGGGAAAAAAGAATTTCCACAATGCTGAGTAAAAAAAAAATGCAAAATGTATATACTGTATTTCATTTGTATAAAATTTAAAAACATATAGAACTACATAGCATTAAAAAACAGAGTAATGGAAAGTGGAGAAGAAGGAAGGGCTTGTGCTTGGGAATAGAAAGACCTGGATGCTGGAAGTGTTCTCTTATTTTACCTATATAGTAGTTCATGGGTATTTGCTTTGTAGAAGTTTATTGAGATAWACATTTGGGTTTTGTACATTATTTTTTGTGTGTAGTACTTAATTTTAAAATGAAAATAATTAGAGATTATCATATCTCACCCATTAAATTTGCAAATTTTAATACTCACATCTTGTGTGGAATATGTTATGTGTATAAGACTTGAAACCTCACATGCATCTAATAAGTATAACCTTTCTGGAAAGCAGTTTGTGATTTTGAAAATGATTAAATATATTGGTCCCTCCCCCACCCATCCATGGTTTTTCCCTCAGGAATCTGCTATAAGAGAAAAAATCTGGTACATCTATGTAGTATGTGCATTAAAGACATTAATTAACATGTATTTTATATGATTAGAAGAATGGATAATATATATTATTAATATATATTATTCAAACCACTGAATTTTTATTCATGTTTTTTCATAACACAGTAAAATGAATATGCTTCAAAAGAATACAGAATTAGCTGGGCATGGTGGCTCATGCCTATAATCCAGGGATTTGGGAAGTTGAGGCAGGAAAATTACAAGTTTGAGGCCAGCTCAGCAGCTTAGTGAGGTCTTCAGCAACTTAGTGAGACCCCGTCTCAACATAAAAAATAAAAAGGATAGGGGATGTAGCTCAGTGGTAAAAAGACCCTGGATTTAGTCTCCAGTATAAAAAAAAAATACAGAATTATAGGTTCATTAAGATCTCATCAGTGTTTAAAAAATGTTTAAACTGTGCAAGAGTATTTTCTAAAATACGCAGAGTAAACAGTTAAGATTATGGATTTCCCCCCCCACACACTTTTTTTGCCCTTTAACAATTTCCCCTCAAAAGCAAATATTTTGATAATCCAAAGGGGAAAGCTACAAGCAAAGCTTATCTTATTTTCTGGCCCTACTAGTTTTTGCTGGTGTGTGTGTGTGTGTGTGTGTGTGTGTGTGTGTTTTAATACAGGTCAGCAGTGCCTTTGTAGTGTAGGTGGGTAGTTGGATAAACCCAGGGCCTTGGGCATGCTAGACAAGTGCTCTACTACTGAGCTTCCCCTATAAGTGTCTTTGTTTTTTTTTTTTTTTTTCTGAGTGGGGGGCAGGGGTTGTCGGGTTAACCAGGGATTGAACCCAGGACCTCCAGCATGGTAAGCTAACACTCTACCCCTGAGCTACATTCCCCTCTTCCCCTCTTCTCCATCAGTGCCTTTCAATCAAAGCTTTCTGTCTTTGTATTTCTTGGTATTCATATCTGCCTCAATTTTTATCTTCAAAAATTATAAATAAAAAAAATTGGGCAACTATCTCTTTCTAAAGTCTAAAGTTATTTCCAAATTAAATTTCCCTACTGTTTATTTCTTTATCTAGGTTTGGGGATGCCGTAAAAGGTAATTTGGTGGTGGGCACATTATCTTGGCCATCCCCGTGGGTGATTGTTATTGGCTCCTTCTTTTCAACATGTGGGGCTGGACTTCAGAGCCTCACAGGTGCCCCAAGGCTGCTTCAGGCTATTGCCAAGGATAACATCATACCATTTCTGAGGGTGAGTGACTTTTTCCTATGTCCTCTTCTTTTTTCCACATTTTAAGAGAAACAGTGTGGTCTTTGTGGGCTTAGGTATTACTAGCTCATAAATATGGAAATGTGGGGTTTTAGTACAAGACCCTYTAAATTCTAGTATGAGTTTATATATGTTTGCTGTAAGGGTGTTTAAAAGACAACACTTTTGTAACACTGTTATTTTTCAGATGTCAAATTGTAGGTTACAAGAATGAGGGCACATTGACTAACTATGACTATGACTGATATTTTCCCTTCTATACATAGGTTTTTGGTCACAGCAAAGCCAATGGGGAACCTACCTGGGCTTTACTTCTAACTGCTGCTATTGCAGAGCTGGGAATCCTTATTGCCTCCCTGGATCTTGTGGCCCCAATTCTTTCCATGTAAGAGCCAGGTGTTCTCTTCAATTATTCTTGCTTAAATGACATATAACACATGATTTCCACAAATCATTTAACAGTAATTATAGTGACATAGTGGGCTAAATACAGGTTTTACTTCACTTAAATAATATTCCTGAGAACTTTCATGTAAGGCTAGCTTATAAATTACCATGGGTTTTTCTCTACTTATACAACTTGAATTTTTCCTATCCCCTCTTTTTTTTTAATGGTACTAGGGATTGAACCCAGGGAATGTTAGGCAAACACCTACCACTAAGCTATAACCCTAGTCCTTATTGTTCTTCCAGGTTTTTTCTCATGTGTTACCTCTTTGTGAACTTGGCATGTGCCTTGCAAACATTACTTCGAACACCCAACTGGAGGCCCCGATTCCGCTACTACCACTGGTAGGTCTCCTTGTTTTCTTCTTTTGGAGAGGAAATATTTCTAAGCTAGAAAACTAGGAGATTCTGGATTCTTTTTTTTTTTAATTTTTTTTTAGAAAGAAAGAAAGAATTTTAATATTTATTTTTCAGTTTTCGATGGACACAACATCTTTCTTTGTATGTGGTGCTGAGGATCGAACCTGGGCCGCATGCATGCCAGGCGAGTGCACTACTGCTTGAGCCACATCCCCAGCCCCCAGATTCTGGGTTCTTGATACATTTGTTTTTCTTGGCCAGCCATTCTATAAGTTATTTTAACATTTAGTTCTCATGCGGATCCTCACTTTTTTATTCAATTTTTTTTCTAAATCACATTGTAATAACTTGATCACTTTATAATATCACTCTAAGAATAAAGATAACTATAATATACATTATTTCCAGGCATTTTCATTCTTTAGGTTAAAACAACTTTTCCATTACAATTCTATTTTCCCATTTTCCTCTTAGCTAAGCACTTAACTTCATCCCTTTTTATTTTGCTCTCATATTCTCATCAGTTTTCATTCACTCACTTTCTTCCTTAGGAGAATTTCATTTAGTAGTTAAGAATGTTGACTGTGGATTCAGGTGATCCAAGTTCATAGCTTAAAACTACTTCCTCATATTGTAACCTTCAGCAAAGCACATAACCATGTAAAATCTCATTTTACTTGTTGTAAAAGGGACTAATAAGTCTGGAGTGCTTAGTACAGTGTCTGGTACATAGTAAAGCTCTTAATGAAATGGTGTTGCTACTGTTGTGGTTAAGCCTCCCCTGTCCTGAAGGAGCCATCCAAGTTTTCTGCTTGCCATCCCATCTTCTTTTTCATAACCGAAGAGTTTTTAAGTTATATTTTATATGTACCTGTTACTTCATTCCTCTTTGCTAGCTTTCCTTTTCTGGCTTCACTTACCAATGGTGGGAAGTGATATGGTAGACAAAAATTTTTTAGACTTTTCAACGGATTTTAACACTTCTGATCTTCTTTCTAGTCTTAAATTTAGTTTAAAATTCATTATGAACATTTTTGTTTTGCTAGCTTCTATTTTTTTTATTTTTATGAGATCTTCTCTAAGTTAATAACTTTCCTAGTCTCACTTTAAAATTTCCTAGTCACAGAGCTAGGATGTTCATTCTGCACACAGAAGAGCTTCAGGAAATGTAGTTATCTAATTTTATTTGATCAAAGCACATATTTCAGGTAGGGGCTGTGGTTCTGCGGTAGAGCACTTGTCTAGCATGCTTGACTCCTTAAGTTTAAAGCCCACCCAGTACTACATACGTTATAGACAGACAGACAGACAAGACAGACAGACTGACTGACTGATCTTTATTTTAAAGAGGCATATTAAAAAAAAAACAAGTATTTCATTATTCCCTACCAAGTTTCTCTTATGTACTGTAAGGAAACTCAGCAAATTTTCCTCAGTGGGTTCTGAGTTATGCTAATGAAATGTTCATAAAATTTTCAGAAATATTTATATGAAAAAATCTTAAAGATTATAGAGTTATTAACATTTCTGACTGCATGTTCAATATCTGCTTTGCCAAATTAGTATTAATTGTCCTCCTCATTAYAGATGATGTTTGTAGAGTTGCTGTTCTCTCATGTTTTTATAGCCATGGGGAGAAATCCTCTATTACAAAGGATGCTTTGGGGGCTCAGTACAGATCTACCAGCTGTTTGTGATCAGTTTATGATACGACAACTATAGAAATTGGGAATAAGTATTTAGAAATTTTATAGCAACTCAAGCTTGCCACATGAGCTTGGGGTGTGGCTTAGTAGTAGAGTACTTGCCCAGTATGCTCAAGGAATTGGGTTCATTCCCCCGCACCACAAGAAAATAAAAACACATTGCCATAACATTCCCTGCTTGAGATAAATTTTCTAACAATGCATTTTTATTGCATTCTACAAAAGTTCCATCTGTAATGGATTAAAAAATAATAAACCCATACCACAAATAATTTTAGAAGTACCTTTAGCACAGTCGTCTTTTTTTGTTGCTTAAAAGATCCTTATTTATGTTTTGTTTTCAACTTTCTAGGGCCCTCTCTTTCATCGGAATGAGTATCTGTCTAGCTCTGATGTTCATTTCTTCCTGGTATTATGCCATTGTAGCTATGGTAATAGCTGGTATGATCTACAAGTACATTGAGTACCAAGGGTGAGTGTGGATTTCACCTTGATCACTGCTAAAAGTATTAAGACTGGCAATGAAAATTAATTTAGGATCCAGGTAACTTCATTTGTCCCTAACTAAATTTTGCATCCCTGATTCTTTTATCATCTTACAGAAGATAATAAACTTTTAATTACGAGAAAGAGTGAATAGCTCAATGAAAAATAACTAAAAGAATATAGCCAAATAATAATGAGAGGTACTAAGCACAATATAACACTGAAGTCAAGGAATTGTCTGTGAAATAAAAAATTAAATTAGTCCTAAATAATTTTCTTAAAAGAGAGACTTCATAACATTTTGATTCAGAAGATTACATTGAATTTTACTTTCCCATGTATTTTCAGAATAATTTAAGTTCTTGGTCTGTGACACTTTCCTAATCCAAAAGACTATTTTATATTACTGCTTTTAAATATACATAGGGACTAAGCAAGTGGCCTTCCAGTCTTTATTCTGAATCATTTGTGCAGTGCAATCTGTGGTGCTGGGTGGTGTTCATTTGCTGTCAGTGGATTCATTATGTTAGTGAAGAACATTATATAAATCATTAATATGTTTTATCTTCTTCTTTGTGCATTTGTACTTTTAGATTTTAAAAAAATGAACTTTATTTTTTGAAATTATACTTACTTGGTTTAAGTCTGTCTCTGCTCTTTTCTCCTTTTTCTTCCAGAGCTGAGAAGGAATGGGGCGATGGTATCCGTGGGCTGTCCCTCAGTGCAGCCCGGTTTGCTTTGCTTCGGCTGGAGGAAGGACCTCCACACACTAAAAACTGGAGGTAAAGAAATCAACAAGGCCTAGTGGTGTTTGGCACATAGTTAATGCACAAAAAAATATGTGCTTTGTTGATTACAGGATAAGATAATCACACTGCTCAAGGAATTGGAATAATGGACCTTTTTTTTTAACTATCTCAAATCTTTATTGCCTTTTCATCATGTGATTTGTTATCTAGATTTCTATCATTTGTTGTTTTCTCTTGAAGACTGATAAATTTGAGATAATACTGAGAGCATTCAAAATAACTCAGTACCCTCATCTTATTCCTCTGACTTCTTCCTATTATCAAATTACATGTTTTATACAGATCTCCTGAATTAAAGTGGGAATTGACATTCTTTTCCCAAATCCAAAATGTTTTCTTCCTCCACCCTCATCTAACCTCTTCACAGGCCTCAGTTGCTTGTATTACTGAAACTAGATGAAGACTTACATGTCAAGCATCCTCGCCTCCTCACCTTTGCCTCACAGCTCAAAGCAGGAAAGGGTCTCACTATTGTGGGTTCTGTCATTGTGGGGAACTTCCTGGAGAACTATGGTGAAGCTTTAGCTGCTGAGCAGGTAAGAGTCAAGATTTATTAACTTGATAGAACTTAGTGTAAGCATTGTGATGTTTGGTACTAAAAGTTCAGACTTATAAATCAATTCATTTCCTGTGTGATCTAGGTTTCCCAGTTAGGGCTAATTCTTTTTTTGTTTTTTCTTTGTGGTACTAGAGATTGAACTCAGAGTCTTGCAAGTTAGGCAGGCATTCCACAGCCCTTCTTATTCATTTATTTATTTATACAGGATTTCACTAAATTTCCGAGGTTGGCCTCAGAGTTGCAATCCCCTTGCCTCAACCTCCCACATAATCCCAAACTGGATTACAAGCATGTATCACCATGCCCTACCAGTGCTGACTTTTGAACAGTCATTGTTTTAGTCAGCTTTTTTGCTGCTGTGCCAAAAGACATGACAAGAACAATTTTAAGGAAAAAAAGTTTTTTGGGGAGTTCACAGTTTCAGAGGTCTCTGTCTACAGACAGTAGACTTCATTTCTTAGGGCCTGAGGTGAGGCAGAACACCATGACAGAAGAGTGTGGTGGAGGAAAGCAGCTCAGGACATGGCATCAGGAAGTAGGGGAGAAATCTGCTCAGCAAGGACAAAATATAAACCCCAAAGGTACACCCCTAGGTACCCACCTTCTGCAGCTACACCCTGCCTACAGTTATTACCAAGATAATCCCCATCATAGGATTAATGCACTGATTAGGTTAAATCTCTTATAATCCAATGATTTCATTTTTAACCTTTCTTTTTTTAATATTTATTTTTTAGTTATAGGTGGGCACAGTATCTTTATTTTATTATTGTTTTTATTTTTTATGTGGTGCTGAGGATCGAACCCAGTGCCTCACACATGCTAGGTGAGCACTCTACCACTGAGCCACAGCCCCAGCCCCTCTAACCTTTCTTGTATTGTCTCAAACATGAGCTTTCAGGGAACACCTGATATCAAAACCATAACAGTTATATTCTTCCAGATAATAAGTTTAACCAGAAGACAACTGCCTATTCTTCCTTCCTATTTAAATCATGAGTAAGCTGTAGATTATTAACCCTGAAAATTATTCCCAAATAGATTCCAAACATTGATCTGATCACTGAGAGAAATTAAATAATTAAATCTATCATTTGAACTGTAGGAACAGTTCCTAAATCTTATGACGAGGAGAAAGGAACAACTCTTCTTCCACTTTACCAACTTACGTGATATCATAAGCAAGATTCCTTTATCATTTCTGTTTACTGAATATCTGAGTTCTACCTGAAGAAGGAAGTAGTTTTCTAATATTTATATTTTCCAGCCTTTTCCTTTTTTTTTAATCCTTCCAGTCCTGGGGATTGAACCCAAGGCTTCACACATGCTAGGCAAGCACTTTATCACTTGAGCTACATCCCCAGCTCTAATATTTATTGTAAATGACAGAACTAATCCTGTTGTTGGAAAATTTTCAACTGTATTTCAGAATTTTTTCTGGATTTCATTTCAGAATGCTTTGAAACCCTAAAAACCAGAAATACTAAGAAACATTAAAATGATGGTGAAAATTCATAAAAAGAGCACAAGATTGCAAGTCACAGTTCTTATCCTCCTATAYCACTGACTTAATCTTTGCTTTGAAAAATTAGATCCATCTTCTACACCATTATTCCTTTCCCTTTTCCACAAAGAGGGTTAAATGGAATAAAAATATCAGTAATAATCACCATTGAAATGTCAAAAAGGATACAGAATGGGAGAAGCAACAAGGAAAACTTACCTAGGAAAATCCTGAAGAAATACTGAATCATCAGATTGAATTTCTGAAAGTGAAGTCAGTGCATTACTATAACTGAGAAAGGAAAGAGATCATGTTCACACTAGTGAACTCTCTTGGTCATTAAGAAAGTAGTTTGAGTATTTGCTTTGTTGAATATTTGCTTTGTGGGGCTTCCTATTCTCAAGTTTTTGATATGTTATAAAGGAAGAAAAGCAGAATAGAGAAAAAAGCAGTGAAACTCCCAGTAGACTACCAGCACTGAAAGGTGAAAAGGACAAAGGATGATATTTCAGTGGAATAATTTTAATTTTTTGGACTTTAAACATTTAAAAAGAGATGAGGAGTATCATATGGAGAAGGAATAATGATTTTAATGGTCTAGGGAAAAGCAATTCATTATTGAGGTTTTGTGTTTCTTTCAGACCATTAAGCACCTAATGGAGGCAGAGAAGGTAAAAGGATTCTGCCAGCTGGTGGTGGCTGCCAAGCTGAGAGAAGGCATTTCCCACCTTATCCAATCATGTGGCCTTGGGGGCATGAAGCACAACACAGTGGTGATGGGCTGGCCCAATGGTTGGCGGCAAAGTGAAGATGCTCGTGCTTGGAAGACTTTTATTGGTACAAAACATTTTCCATATTAACCTAAAGGCCCAAATTGGGAATAGAGTTGAATCCCTTTTACACCAACCTTAGCCCCTAACCTTCTAAAGTAAGCATTATGCCATTGTTGAAGCATGGCCACCTAAAAAACTACTAGTGTTAATGACCTGATTTTACCTATCCTCTCCAGCTTTACATTTATATTCATGAGTTGTTTAGTTCTATCAAGTATTGGGCTAGGAATTATCTCCAAAATTGCCATGTTTTCACTTATGATTTTTCGTACTTATATCCTCACATGAATTGGAGGATGGTCCTTCAGCATCAAAATCTCCCAACTTCACTTATGCCTCCTTGAAACTGTAGTAATAAGAGTATATCTAGTAAAGTAAACCATGATCCTCAATCCAAATCAGCTAGCTATTCAGATTTCTCTCAGTGAGTTTAGTTACTTAATGGGGTATAATCTATACTATACTATGTATTTGGGCATCTTTTGCTCAAAGAAATGTAATCCTTGGGCTGGGGATGTGGCTCAAGCGGTGGCATGCTTGCTTGGCATGCGTGTGGCCCGGGTTCGATCCTCAGCACATTACAAACAAAGATGTTGTGTCTGCTGCTAAAAACTAAAAATTTCTCTCTCTCTCTCTTTTAAAAAAAATTTTTAAAAAATTTAAAAAAAAGAAATGTAATCCTTATTTTCCTGACCCAGTGGGAAGTAAAGCAAACCTAAGGATTCTTCTCTGCTTATCCTGATTTTCTCTTTTTTTCTCCCTAGGAACAGTTCGAGTGACAACTGCCGCCCATCTTGCCCTGTTGGTAGCTAAAAACATCTCCTTCTTTCCCAGCAATGTGGAACAGTTTTCTGAGGGCAATATTGATGTGTGGTGGATTGTGCATGATGGGGGGATGCTCATGCTTTTACCATTCCTACTGAAACAGCACAAGGTATTTTAGGCAACTTTAAGTCTTTCTCCCTTCTGTCTTGTTTGACTATACAAATTCTTTCTTGATTATGTAGTGTTGTGGCTTAAAATCAAAAAGTCCGGCATTATTCTTGAGTTTTCCATAACCCAGTTTCAAACTTTACGAGAAATAGGTTTTTTTTTAATAATTGATAACAATCTAACTTCAAATGTAAGTCAGAAAATAAAGTTTCCCTTTGGAAAAAACAGTAATGTGTGAACACATATTAAAAAGAAAAGTTTCTAAAGGAAGTATAAGGTGTGTGTGTGTGTGTGAGAGAGAGAGAGAGAGAAAGGGGGGGGGTACTCATTCTTTGGTAAGATTAGGTAGATTGAAATTAAATTAGTCTTGTATCATTAATGTACTGTCTGAATAAAGCATCCTCTTAATGTATCACAAGTGAGGATACATTGATATGTTATTTTCCTCAAACATCAAATAAGAAATCATTTCTTCAGTGCACCCATCATAGCTGATTGTCCTCTAATCAGCTTTGACACTGTTTATCAATCAGAGGTGGCATCATATCCCACATATTGAGGGCTCAGTCCCACAAAATGACCCTCCCATTTCTTCTACTAATTACAGGCCCCAGGTTTGATTTACCTAATGCTTGTGACTGACCTGCTATAAATGAGGGTTCCTATGACCCCCTCCTTGTTCTAGAGTGGCTTACAGAACTGAGAAACACTTTATTCCATTTACTAGATTATTATAAAGAATATTATAATCAAAGGATGCAGATGAAGAGATGCACAAGGCATATGAGGAGAGGCATGAGTTTTCATGCCCTTTCTGAAGCCATCATGTTCAGCTATCTAGAAGTTCCCTGAACCGAGTTCTTTAGGGATTTCATAGAGGCTTTATTACATAGGAATTGTTCATCAAATCATTGGCTATTGGTGATCGATTTAACCTTCTATCCCTCTGTCCTCCTAAGTAGTTGTGGATTTGGGCTGAAAGTTCTAACCCACTAATCTGCCTCAGTCTTTCTGGTGACCTGCCCTGCTTCTGAAGCTATGCAGAGGCTGCTAGCTATGGACCAACTCATTGGCATACAAAAACATACTTAGCACCATGAAGATGCAAAGGATTTTAGGAGTCATATGCTAAGAAATAGTGACATATACACAGATAGTGTATATTTCACAATATCACAAGAGACATCTTTTCTTTCTTTGTCAGTTTTTTCTTATTATGGAATCAAGAACTCCTTAAAACTATATTTAATGTATTTCTTAGTTAATCTTTTGCCCTAATACAATAACATACCAAGCAAGGAACAAATATCCTCATGCCTATAGCAGGGTTGTTTTAAGTCAAAATGCCTCATGTTTTAGAAAATAACTTTAATTCTGCCTTGCATCTGTTTTCCATATACATATGGCATTCTGTCAGGTGTGGCGAAAATGCAGCATACGGATCTTCACAGTAGCTCAACTAGAAGATAACAGTATCCAGATGAAAAAAGACCTGGCCACCTTCCTGTATCATCTGCGCATTGAAGCAGAGGTGGAAGTGGTGGAGATGGTAAGAAAGTGGAGTTTGAGATAGAGGTGACCACTACTCCCCCAACCCCAACCCTATCTTCCTAGAACCTTTTTTGGTTTGGGAAATTATTCACCTATAAATGTGAATTAATCCCCTACTTCCAATAAAATTCTAATTTGTTGACTTAAATAAGTAGAATACATAATGTATGTTTGGTAATACTTTTTGGTTTTGCTTTCCATTTATTATATAGCTCTTATTATTTCTGCCAGATTCTTTTCTGCCTAATATATTTTTAATTTTTAATTCATTCTTAAATTCACAGTGAGACTTATGTGTGAAAAATACAGACTAGAGTTTGTGTTTTGTGTTTCAAGGAAACACATGTAATAGATAGATTACAGAAAATATTCAAAGCCTCTGGATTTGATTTATAACCCCAAACTAATGTGTCTTTGTAGATCAGAGACTAGGCAGAATAGAGGTGAAAGGTTGATATTGTGATATATTTTCTGATTTAAGATACTGAATGGAAGTAAAAATGTGTGGTCTATCCTTCTTTCTCCTTTGTGCATTTTGCCCACTTTGTGTGATGTCTGTGGCAGCACGACAGTGATATATCAGCTTATACTTATGAGCGCACGCTGATGATGGAGCAACGGTCCCAGATGCTCCGGCACATGAGGCTATCCAAAACAGAACGGGACAGGGAGGTGAGACTTTGTTGCATTGATCTAATCGTGGCTCTGTGAAGTCTCAGTGAAAGGGATGATACTGTATTGTTTTCACAGGATGACAAATTCTTTCCTTCTCACTGTATTAGTTATCCCAATAAAATCCCATTTTTTTTCAAAATAGTTGAAGCATGAGAGAATATTAGGTAGAATAACTTTGTTGGACCTTCCCAGGCACAGTTGGTGAAAGACCGGAATTCAATGCTACGACTGACCAGCATTGGCTCTGATGAGGATGAAGAGACAGAAACCTATCAGGAGAAGGTGCACATGACTTGGACAAAAGACAAGTACATGGCATCCCGGGGACAAAAAGCCAAGTCAATGGAAGGATTCCAAGACCTACTTAACATGCGTCCGTAAGTTTTCTCTCAGAAGCTTATCATGTAAAACAGTATCCTAGTCAGTGACACAGATGTGACTGACTGAACACATAGGATGAATTCTGTTCATTTCACCCAYATCCAGCCATTTCTCTATTGTTTGCCTATACATATTAGCTCCCAAGTATACACAATACCATCTTCTTTCTCTTCACATAGTTCATCTCCATACTGTTAGCTTATTAAATGAGAAAACTCGGGATTTACTATCATAAGGAAATTATTTTACTTACCACATTATCCATAGTTAAGTTAAAAAAGCTTTGGACCTCAAGTTTTTAAAATTCAATTGTAACTATTTTCTTTTTGCTTTAACTGTCTGTTTCTTCCCCACCCAGGGACCAGTCCAATGTAAGACGAATGCATACAGCAGTGAAGCTCAATGAGGTTATAGTTAACAAGTCCCATGAAGCAAAGCTGGTTTTGTTGAATATGCCAGGGCCACCCCGAAACCCTGAGGGTGATGAAAACTGTATCCTTTTTGAAAGTGGAACCACCAGTTGGGAAAATCTTATTAGCTCATTTCTTAGATGAGACATCTAGGAAACCATAAAAGTTATTGTCTATGCCCCACTTTCCCTCTTTGAGGAACTCAGACTTTTAAAGTCTTAGGCAAGGATTCTTACAAAGTGGTAAGACTGATTAATCTTCTTTTGGAAAGTTGGGGGTGCAATATATTCTCTCTGAACCCTAAAGACTTTTTAGTTGGTGTCTTATATTAAATGACCATCCTAGAGACAGAATATCCACATTCTTTTTTCTATCCATTTTGTAAAGCCTTTTTCTTTTGGATGGAGTTAGCAGAGAAGCAGCTGAGAATGGAGACTCAAAGTTAAGAAAGAAAAAAGGGATTTTCCCTAATACTTTCATCCCAGAATTGTTTTAATTGGAAACTTTCAGCATTGCAACAACACAGACTAGCCCATTCCTGCCATTACAGAAAAGAGGTTTAAAAATGGAAAAAAAAAAAAGAGGGAGGGCGCTGGGGTTGTGGCTCAGCAGTAGAGCGCTCGCCTCACACGTGGGTTCGATCTTCAGCACCACATAAAAATAAATAAACGAAATAGATTGTATTGTGTCCAACTACAAGTAAAAAAAAAAAATTGAAAAAAGAAGTGGCAGGAAAATCTGACTTGAATGGCTTCACGTAGAAATTATTGGGTGCTCTCTGGATTGTTGTGGGGTGGTTGGGGTTTTTTTTTTTTTGCATTTTTATCATTTAGAATAACATTACTATGGACTCCCTCATTTCTTAATAACATTAGAAAATATCTAATAAATAGAAGAATCTTATAGATGCAAAGGTATTATATCCCTGGATTACTTCACAGCGTTAATGAATCAAAAATTCAGACTTGGGGCTGGGATTTGTGGCTCAGCGGTAGAACACTCGCCTACATGGGTGGGACCTGGGTTCTATCCTCAGCACCACATAAAAATAAAGGCATTGTGTTGTGTCCATTTACACCTAAAAAATAAAACAAATTTTTTTAAAAAGTTCAGACTTAGCTGAGCACAGTGGCACACACCTGTAATCTCAGCAGCTCGGGAGGCTGAGGCAGGAGGATTGCAAGTTCAAAGCCAGCCTCAGCAAAAGAGAGGTGCTAAGCAACTCGGTGAGACTCTTGTCTCTAAATAAAATATAAAATAGGGCTGGGATGTGGCTCAATGGTCAAGTGCCCCTGAGTTCAACCCCTGGTACCAAAACAAAACAAACCAAAACAAATGTTCAGACTTCTCCAAGTCTGACTATATAATTAAGAAGCATGCTGTTATCAGATAATACCAGATAAGAGATGCCAGGTTGTAAAGTGAACTTTTCTGCCTGTTTGTCTCCTTGACAAATTCTGAAGACATGGAGTTTCTAGAAGTACTCACCGAGGGACTAGAACGAGTCCTCCTTGTCCGGGGTGGTGGCAGTGAAGTGATCACCATTTACTCATAATCTGCTCCTGAATGACTCTGCTTGGTCTCTCATTTGCTAAAAGGCTTCCATCCTCCATGGAAAAGTGATGGTTCTTTATTACCACACTCACTCAACTAGAGTCCTGTGTTCTGTACACATAACACTGAACTTTTGATGAGCTGAGCATCCAGTACTTTTTCAAGAATACTTATAGATCTGTTCTTGGCTCCCTTATAATGACAGAAGCAGCAGATACTCCTTCAACATCAGAAGAATGATCAAGTCCCAAAACCATTCAGTACCAAGAGAAGGAAAGTTAGGATTAACAAAGCCAATAAATGGGAACCTTTTAGCACTGTTGAAGACAGCAACATGATAAAAGGAATGCTAAAATTTCAACTAAAGACAAAAAGCAAGTACATAGCCAACATTAAAGATGAGTCTCAGAAGTCATGGTTCAATGATAACACCACAGGGGTAACTGCCAGAGACAGCCTCACCTTACTAAAGAATTTGTGGCTAGGTGTATGGGGGCCTATTAGCCTTGTGAAAATAACCAGTGGCAAGCCAAGATGTAAACCTTTTATAGCTAATTATTTCTTTAGTGTACCTTCTGTTCTCTAGGACTCTGTTAGGGTACATAGCTACAAAACACGAAACATGGCAGCAGCCTCTCCTTCTCCCTCAAAAACAAGATTGCCCCAGAATGTCAGGTTTAAGTATCTACACTGTGTCCGTGTATATTTCAGCTGTTTGTTTCTCTTAGCTCAAAACAAAATCTGTGGTTGTAACACAGGCACTGTTACCACACACACACACACACAAAGGTAAGGATTGGTCTCTTTCAGGTTCTTTAAATGGCTAAACTAAGGAAATTCCAAGGAGTAGCTATTAAAATTTACCCAAGTAGTCTCTGGTTATCTATGCGACAAGGGCAAAATATACAAGCTGTTTTGTAGAAACAGGTCATGATGCACACTGGCCACTAGGTTCTCCTTTCCTTCTTTTTATGCCTCAAGTTACTAGGCCTGGATCAAGAACCCTTAAGGAACAAATACTAGGAAGACTGGCTAATATCATTCTCTGAAAGCTCTGGACTGTCTTTAAAAGGGGGAATTCAGCAATGGAACTGGAAGTTCTAGAGCCATACTGTTTCCATAGTGCCAAAGTTATCAAGCTGCTACTCTCCTTACCTACTTAAAAATGCATACAAATTGACAATGGCCTGATTCAAGAAAATTTGTTTTCACTAAGTAATCTATGGCCTCATCCCTAAGGTTATAGTTAAGACTTGAGGCACTCAACTTAAATGGCCCAAATATGAGCATTTCCCCCTTTTTCCTTTTATTCTTCATTCTGACTGAAGAAATTTGGCTCTAAAGTATTATCCAAGCCACCAGTCTTTTTTTTTTTTTTCCCAGAAAGTTCTAAATGTGCCAAGGAAATACTTTTACAAACTCATCTTTTTATTTACTAATTTACTGATCACAAAACACTTGGCTTACCAGCATAGGGAAACTATGTGTGTGGCTAAGCAGTAATTCCAAATATGTGAAATTTTCATTTCTTATACAAGATGGGTATTTAAGAAACTGTCTTCTTGCCTGTATTCACAGCTGCTTTTAATTTCACTTTATTAATGATAAATAGTGCCACTCTTTTTTGATTACCCAGTAAGATTTGGAATAAGCTCTCAGTTTCAAATAATTCTTTTGACACACAGGGACAAAGAAGAAAATCGTTCAGTATGGCTTAAGAAATTAAGTCATTTTGATTTGTTCCTTTTGCTCTTCTTTCAAACTTCAGGCCCATTTGTGGGTAGCAAAGCAGACAGTATCTTATGTCTTTTTTTCTGCTCCTTCCTGCGGGGAATAGAAATTTTGTTTACAACTCCCATTGCAACACTCCACTGCTTAGTTGAGTATAGTAGTAATGGGTCAGGTCGCCTAGGACCTAAGATCTTCAAGACTCCAATACTGTAAAGGTCATCCTGCCCAGGAATTTCCCAAAATTTACACATACTCCTGGCCAAAGTGATACACATTTTTCCTATACAGAATAAATATGGGCAGAAAATAAGGTAATTTTAGAAGTGCTATTTGTGGTTGGAACTCTGTAAGAATCTTTTAAAGGGAGGAGGGAATTAGTGACTTATTAACAATGCTACTACCTTAATCCCTAAAATACGAAATCACTGTTACATGGAAAAATGGTTATTAGGCCAGATTTATATTCATCTGTCTAGAGCATTTCACGTCTATGTGTTGCTTATGTTGTCTGTCTACAAAATGTCTTGTCTGGTTTAATCACTGCAAATAAAGCAATACTGAAAACTTGATGAGAGAATGCACCTTAGGGGAAGGGGCTTTTGTTTCAAGAGGGAAGACTAAAACCTCCTGCTTTTTGGGCAAGATCCAGCTTTTAAGTCTTACCTATGACTTTACCAGGACAGGATAATATATAATTTCTCCTACTGCTGGCTCTCTGCCTTCCATAGCTATCTTAAAAGCTGAAGTTTGAACTGCAGTGTCTGTTTGACAGGTTCCTTGTGGCAGGAGAAAGATCACTGCTCTTTATCTTCCATTGCCTCTGATCTTTGTGGCCCCAGGGATTCCACCAATCCTCATTCCCCCTAAACATGTTAAAAATTCTTTATTGTATTAAAGTAACAATTACACTGTAAGCATATTTATGTGTTCTTTTTTCTGGTTTATTTTTCTTTTCATCATGTATAATTTAAATCCAGCATTAGTTCCATCCATGAGTGTCTCCAACAGAATTTTTATGTCCCAATTTGTGTTAAATAGGAGTGATCTATTAAGGAAAATAGATTTATTAAAGGAAATTTGTGAAACTTTTAAGTATTGTTTTCAACCATTTAATTTATTAAAAGGAGATGCTGCTATGGCTTTTGATTTAGCAGCAACCACTCTTTTGTTTACATAGAGTTCTGGTTTTATTTGTTTTGCTCTGTACTGCAAACATAAATAAAGTTTTCTACATTATTTTCAGCCAGGGGTTGTGGTATAGTTTCTTTGTGTTTGTAGTAATATACACATTGTCCTTCTATGATTTGTCTCCTGACCATGGAGGAGAGAGCTTTTTGGTTCTTTTCAATATGAGTGAGAATACTTAAAAAAAAAAAAAAAAAAAGTATACTTAGGGAGCCATTTAGCTTAAAGAAGGATGTAAATGAGGCCAAATATATAGGCACCTGGTGCTTCCTTCTCAGGTTCACAAAAGTAATCCTCCACCACTGAACTCCATTCTCTGGAAGAAGAAACAGTAAACGGTTGAGTGGTGAATAAGTGTTGAAATAACTTTCTGAATCAGTATTTTAATCACAAGTTCTATTATTTCTTATCATTAAAAAAAAAAATCTTCCAAACCCCTAAGAACTTTTATTACTTAAGAAATGAATTCTAATACCAACTCTTAATTCTCTACCATCAAATGAGTCAGCTATTCACTGTACAAATGCCTCAAATTTGACTTTTCTTTTACCTTACCTCAGGGGGCTCAATGAAGGCTAACCAGTCTGATGCATGTGTAGGCAGTAGTCCCATAGACTGACACTTGTAAACAGCCAATGCCAAACCCATTAAGTTCCCAATGAGATAGACCAAACCCTGAAGAAACTTCTGGCTTGAACTCTCTAGCATCTTGAAAGCTGTTGGGGATAACAGAAGCTGTCAAAAACAAAACAACCTTCCTTTTTCAATATGAATCAAATCAATCATACATATTAATATAGATAAACCCAAAATAAGATAGCAAATAGGATCACTAAAGGTGAACAGAATACTGTGAGCAGCATTGTTTTCCCCTCCATTTCACCACTACTACCATCACCACCCTGCATACCTTTTGGTTAAAAAAAAAAATTATGCCTAAGACTTTAAATTCTTAAAACATAGGGAAGGGTTTATTATTTCAAAAATACTTACTGGCTGAAATGGCCATAAGTGCTTGAATGGGTCGCCAGGCCATCATACACACCATCATAGTAGGGAAGATGGAGATAGTATTTCCTGCCATGTACATGATGAAGAGGTTCATAGGAATCTGCTTGAGGGGACCCAAGGCGATGTCCCAGCAGCGCTAAAACAAGCACAGTTATAACCTTTCATCATTAYCATCAATCCCACATTTACTGCATCAGTGATGCTAAAGTCAAATGAACAGAATTCCCAATTCCCTGCTTCTGACTAAACTGACTCAATTCCACCACCTCTTCCTTTCTCCATGTTGCCACAGGAAGCTCCTTTCCATTAAAGGTATAAGATAGCCTCACCATCTGTTAGTTTTCCCCATAAGATTTCCAGTCATCTTTTTCTTGTGATTTTGGCTAAAGAAAAGATTTTCCTGCTTTTGTCCTTGAACTTCTGCATATATCACTGTCCCTTTTACAACTAAAGAAATAGAAAACTCCAGCTACAACTAAAGAAATAGAAAACTCCACATGCTGGAAGATTACCACACCTCAACAACAGAACAGGCAGGGGCTGGGATTATAGCTCAGTGATAGAACACTTGCCTAGCCTGTGTGAGACATTGGGTTTGATCCTCAGCACCACATAAAAATAAATAAAACAAAGGTATTATGAAAAAATTGTTTTGAAAAGATAACAGGCAAGTCAAGACACAGACGATTTGAATGACAAACGAACTTTCACATATATAACATTGTACCCAACAATTACGGAATTCATATTCTTTTCAAACATCAGATAGTTAGAAAAACTGGCCACTTGCTGAGCCATGTATGAAAATCTCAATGTCACAGAACTCAAAATATACAGTGTTCTTTGACTATAATGCAACTAAGCTAGAAATCAAAAGGTAACTAGAAAATCCCTTATATTTAGAAATTAACAAATGTATACTAATCCATGAATGCTATCAAAATGGAAAATAGAAATGTTAATTGGAAACAAAAATGCTGCATTAAAACTTGTATACAGTTAGAGCTGTAATATATTTATAATCTTAAATACATATCAGAAGACTTAGTGAGGCTCTGTCTCAAAAAGGGCTGGGAATGTACCTCAGTGGAAAAGCACCCTGGGTTCAATCCCCAGTACAAAAAAAAAAGCTAGAAAAAGAACAAACTAGCTAGCTGGGCATGGTAGCATACACCTATAATCCCAGTGACTTGGGAGGCTGAATCAAGATGATCACAGTTTCAAAGCCAGCCTCAGCAACTTAGGCTCTAAGCAACCTACTGACACCCTGTCTCAAAATTTAAAAAAGGGGAGGGGAGGCTAGGGATGTGGCTCAGTGATTAAGCAGGTTCCATCCCTGGTACCAAAAAAGAACAACAAAGAAACTTGGGAAAAAAACAGACTTTTTTTGGTACTGGGGGACTGAACCCATGGGCACTTTACCACTGATGGCCATCCCCAGACCTTTTTATTATTTTGAGAAAGGGTGTCATTAAATTGCTAGCCTCAAAACTGAAGCTCCTGCCCCAACCTCCCAAGTTGCTGGGATTACATGCATGCACGGCTGCCCTTGGCTAAAGTTAGAGAAAAAAAACAATTGCTATCATGTATTCATACACTTTAATGTACCAAGATGAAAAATTACAGGATTAATGGGCTAGGGATGTGACTTGGTGGTAGTGTTTGCTTAGCATGCACAAGGCCCTGGGTTTGATCCCCAATACTGTGCAAAAATAAATAAATAAATAATGCGTATTGAGAAAAGATTGATAATAGCTCTGTCATTTTCATGTTGTAAAGATCACACGCATTTCATGAATGCATGAACAAAGACTGTGTAATGCAGAGCAACATTAAGGCCAAGAAAGAAGTAAGAAAAGGAAAGAAAGTGCTATGTACTACTCTAGGCACTTAGGATATATCCAACAAAATCCCGTTCTCATGGAGCTTACAAGAGTGATAAGGGCAATGGGCAATAAAAAAAATAACTATTATATGATATATTCATAGCATATGTTAATGATATGGAGAAATAGGAAAACAAGATAGGGAGTACCATAAGGGTAGGCTTCACTAAGACCAAAACATTTGAGAGATGTAAAGGTGATAGGCAAGAAGATCTGGAAGAAGAGCATCCAAAAATAGGGAAGAGCAAATACAAAAAACCTGACATGGGCACTTGTCTTGCTGTCTTTAGAGAGCAGCAGGGAAGCCATTATGACTAAAGTGAAATCAATAATCAATAAAGGGTAGAAGATGAGGTCAGAGATATTTCAGGGGTTTGACCAATGCAGAGTTATGTAGAACATTATGAAGACTGGGCTTTTATGTTGAAAAAATGGGAACCTATAGGAGGATTCAGAATAGGAATGATCTGACTTATATTTTAAAATGATGTTGACTGTTGTAATGAGAATAAACTACAGAGGTCTAGGTATAAGTAACAAGACCAGTTAGAATTCTACTGCAAAAAAGGAATACAAGAGATTTTTTGGAGATGAAAAATATGTTCTCTTTTAAGAGAACATCACTATTAAAGCTCATCAAATATTACCCTTTAGAGGTTCCCAGCTGAGGGCAATTTGTCTCCTGGGAGACATTTAGAATGCTGGAAATGTGTAATTGTCACAACTAGGGAAGGGCACTACTGCCATCTAATAAGTAGAGCAGGGATACTGAACATCTTACAGTGCACAGTACAGTTCCCCCACAACAAGAAGTATTTTTTAAAAATATTTTTATTTTTTAGTTCTYGGCGGACACAACATCTTTGTTGGTATGTGGTGCTGAGGATCGAACCCGGGCCGCACAAAAGCCAGGCAAGCGCGCTACCGCTTGAGCTACATCCCCAGCCCTCACAACAAGAAGTATTAACCACCACTTGTCAACAATGCTGAGGTTGATAAACCATGCTTTAGTTGAATGCAGTTTACTGTACATAAACTACAATTTGGAAGAGTTTACATGTACATATATATTTTATCATATATCTTTGATTTTTTTTAGTCTCTTGCAAAAATCTGGATGAGAGGGCTGGGGTTGTGACTCAGTGGTAGAGTGCTTGCCTAGCTTGTGTGAGGCACTGGGTTTGATCCTCAGCACCACATAAAAATAAATAAATAAAGGTTTAAAAAATAAATCTTAAAAAAAAAAAATCTGAATGAGAGACAGTGGCTAGGACCAGGATGATAAAGACAAGAAGCAGTAGGCCTGTCTTGGTGGTGAAAGCCTGTTAATCATAGTAACTAGAAAGGTTAAGTCAGGAGGATGGTAAATTCAAGGCCAGCCTCAGCAACTTAAGTTGGCCATTTCTCAAAAAAAAATTTTTTTCTAAAAAACAACATACACGGATACAGCCACATAATGTTTATTCACAATATACAATTCACAATAGCTAAACTGTGGAACCAACCTATATGCCCTTCAGTAGATGAATGGATGAAGAAAATGTGGTATATATACACAATGGACTATTACTCAGTAATAAAAGAGAATAAAATCATGGCATTGGATATGGAGAAATAGGAAAAATAAAATAGCAATAAAAGAGAATAAAATCATGGTAAATGGATAGAGTTGGAGAATATAATGGTAAGTGAAATTAGCCAATCCCTAAAAACCAAATGCTGAATGTTCTCTAATATAAGGAGGCTGATTCATAGTGGGATTGGGAAGGGGAGCAGGGAAGATTAGAGGAACTCTAGATAGGGCAAAGGGAAGGGAGGGGCAAGAGGGTAAAAAAGATGGTGGAATGAGATGGACATCAGTAACCTAAGTACACGTATGAAGACACGATAACAAATTAGAATAAAAAACAAAAGGCGGGAGGGGTGGTGCTGGAGATGTGGCTCACTGGTTAAGCGCCCCTGGATTCAATTCCTTAAAAAAATAGTAATAGGATTTGGGATCTTTTTTGAAGGTAATATCTTGACAGTATGGATGCGTGGTGTCAGGGAACTAGCATAAAAAACGACGACTTAAGCTGGAAAGCCTTGCCACCAGCAGATCATTTTGCAACTATTTCCTAATACCTTGCCTTAATGAATGTCTTTTACTTTTCCAACTGTTAAGCACTATTGGAGCTGTTATGTAAACTACTGTAACACTTACTGCATGCAGTGTAGCTCCCATTCTTTATAAATGGGGTCTACAGTAATACTACTTGGGAGAGGCGGGTAGGTCCTGACTGGCTCCAGGACTAGGGTAACATCTATACCTCTGTACCTTCTCCACCAGGATCCGGTCTGTCTCCTGCACGCTGGTATCAGGTACTTGCTTGTCCAAGTAACCGACTGGGTATAGTGAGTCTCCCTGGCTACTGCCGCGGTCACTTCGGCCCCTGAAGAACCAAACCAAGAGACTAAAGCTGCAACTTCCCAAACTTTATATCCTTCAGTTCTTGTTCTACCAATCATAATAATAAAGAGCCTCAGATGCACTACCCAGATTAGGCCAAGTGCTCAGATGGGCTCGTCAGTCCCTTTGCCAATTGGGAAGACTAAAATAAATATCCTTAGGGAAAAGTAACCTGCACGATAGAGAAGCTGCTACCTCCCCAGGTGACGTCTGTCTACCACCCAACCTTTTCAGAGAATGCGCCTCAGGATGAGGCTGGGGAAGTTCTAAAGTTCTAAAGCTGGTGACGACTCTAAAGTCGAGCTTGATCCAAGCGCTCACCTGCTGCCTCCTCCAGGCCCGCTCAGTTCAATGGCCCATTTGAACCGCCGGCCTCGGTTGGCCACCAAGCCTCCTTGGGCCGTCATGGCAACGGCCACTTCCTAAGGTTGCGAAGCCTCAAACAGAAGCTGACTCCTAGCTCAGGACCCACTAGCGGCGTAGCCCACCGGCTTCTAACCTCGGATTCTCCCTCGGCAAGCTCACTTCCGGCGTGTGGATATAGACGTCACTTCCGCCCCCAGAAATTGGCTACCGGGTAAGACTGACGACTAGGAGCTTGGATGTAGAAAATCAGGAGAGAGGCAAGATATACAGCTTCCGAAAGCTTCTCCAGTAGACTTGTTATGTGTTCTCTGATCTCCGAGGTGCACTTTACAGTGCACAAGCAAAGTTCATACCTCCTGTGTTAGGAATTGAAGTCATGGAAAGCTCTTGACCTCCATTCCTATGTGTTCCTGTGAACACAGTGTTCAAATCCTGGCTCCACCACTAATTGTGTGACCTTGAGCGAGTTATTTAGTAGATTCCAAATACTGCTTGTCCACGGTGTACTTGCTAAGTAGATCTGCCTCCATTCTGCACAAAAGCAAAGTGGCAGTGGAAAGGTATACGGGCTTGGGATTCACGTGGCCAGCCCCCCCCCCCCCCGCCTTTTTCTTTTCTTTTCTTTTTTCTTTTTTTTTTTTTTTTTAAGGACAGATCTCTCTTAAATTACCCAGCCTGGTCTCAAACTTGTGGTCCTCTTGCCTCAGCCTCCCGAGTAGCTGGAATTACAGGCGTAGGCCACCGTACTGGGATTCCCATGACCTCCATTTGAATTCTGGCTTCACCACTTAACTAATTTTGTCACCTTTGGCAAGTTAAATCCATTATTTCAACTTCCTCGTATGTAAAAATTAATTCTTCCTATTTTCAAGGTTTGTTGTCAGATTAAATTGTACTTCTTCAGATGCCTAATTTGTTTTTCAAGTATCATTACATAATCTACATCATTATTCCTAGTTAATGGATTCTGTATTCAGTTGTGTACCCATGTCATAATTTTTTTTGTTGTTGTATTTTATTTAGAGACAGGGTCTCACTGAATTGTTTATTAGCACCTCACCATTGCTGAGGCTGGCTTTGAACTCTATTCTCCTGTCTCAGCCTCCTAAACCRCTGGGATTACAGGCATGCYCCACTGCACCAGACGAACATTTAGGTTTTTTCCCTATCTCCCTACCACTTTTATGAACCAATGTTACTGAGCATCCTTGTAGTACATCTTGTCTTAGTTCCTTAGGTTATACCCCCAGGGACTGTGTTTGCTACATCAAAGAGCTTTCACATTTTAAAAGAATTTTCATTTTCATTTAAAATGCCCACTAGTAAAATCGGCATCATTGACATTCTACCGTCTTTGTTCAAAAATGGTACTGTATTTTTTAAAATTTGTATTTCTTCGTAAATTACTTGACAACTGGAATTTGACAGAAGGGGGTACAGTGAGAGTGTGGTTGGGGGTAAGACTGAAAAGAGCCTCCTTGGCCAATTAAAGAATTTGGATGCTTGAAGATGATGGTAATATAAAACACTGAAGATTTTCACCCCCACTTTGTTTTCCAATTTTACAAATTGGAAGTTTAATAGCAGACTGTTTAAGGCAGAAATAGAAAAGTCTTTCCCCCTTCAATCCATTCTAAAATGTGTATCCATCTGATCATAGGAAGACCCAGCATGTAGATTGCCTTCCCTGATTGCCTTCKTTTCTGCTTTACCACGTTGTTTCTGATGAACCTTTAAGATTCATCTTAAGCTTCACTAGGGCCTTGGCCCTACTGGACATTCCTCTGTCCCAGTATATATTGCCTAATAGCACTTAACCACTTGGCATTGTTGTGTGTTATCATACCCTGAACACTTACCTCTAACCCCCATGCCCTACGCTAAATTACTTGAGGACAGTAGCTGTATGTTAATTATCTTTGGTTCCACAGCCTAATGCCTCCAACTTGCAAAGTACAGTAGTCCCTCTCACCCCCATCTGTGAGGACACATTCCAAGGCCACCAGTAGATAACCTGAAAATGTGGGTAGTACTGAATTCTGTATATACTGTTTCTTTCTATATATACATACCTAGTACACATTCTTAATTTGTAAATTAGGCACTTTAAATATTAAGAGATTAACAATAGTATCCAATAATGAAAATTAAAATATAGCACTACACTGTTATAAAATGTGGATGTGATTTCTTCCTCTCTCAAAGTAGCTTTTTAGACCATACTCACCCTTTTTGTGATGATGTAAGATGCCTACCTGATAAGATTAAGTGAGGTAAATGACTAAGCACTTATTACACACTTTTGTAGTTAATATGTGGCAGCAAAACTAACAAATTCCCTTTTTCCTTCACAATTTCTCAGTATAGTAAGTCTTTGAAATCTCAGCATACTTTTTTTCTTATTAAGCTGAGAGTTTTATCTTTTCACTTAAAGAAAGCACTTTATGGCTTCTCTTTGGCATACCTAAACTGCTAGTATCACAATTCTTGTACTTTGGGCCATTAAATAAAATAAAGGATACTTAAACACAAGCCCTTTGATAGGAAACAATCAAATCTGATAACCAAGAAGGCTACTAAGTGACCAATAGCAGATGGCATAATCAGCAGGAATACATTGGGAAAGGATGATTCAAATCCATGGTAAGATAGAGTAGGACACCACGAGATTTTATTATGCTAACCAGAACAGCATACATTCTGGACTTTTCCAGTGTTGGGGATGTAGCTCAGTGGTAGAGCACTTGCCTAGCATGCTTGAGRCCCTGGATTTGATTCCTAGCACACAAAAGAAGAAGAAAAAAATAGAATTTTTCACTTAATATTTTCCAAACATGGTTGAAAGTAGGGTAACCATAGTTTGAGTATGGATAATGAATCTATGAAAAGCAAAGCTGTGGATTGAGTAGTGGGGAGCTGCTATGCTGAATAAGTGTTTAGTGACTGTGAGTAATTAAATTGAAAATAAATATGATAACAATATATGAGTGTGCTATAATTACACATGTAAAGCAAAACTATAAAAATGAGGATATACATCAAAAATGTTAATATTGTATTGGGGTAATGGTTTTCATTTAATGGACTCTTCCCCAGGACACAATAGGGACAGTTCCTCTATGCATGCTCAGATTCTTCATGAAAAAGATGAATGTCCTCCCTATAAAGCGCTGTTTGTTCTTTTAAAAAGATTATCAGAAAGTCGTTAGAAACAATCTCTTGTGAAAATGGAGTTCAGGTTGAAATTTGAGAATTCAATTTTTGCACAGTGTTCTTTGGAAAGAAAAGGAAATTAGTATGATTTTTCATAAGCCTGGGAAACCTGGATTATAAAATCAACTCCAAATGAACTACCAGAATCACTTTGAGTTAGGTACTTTCTTGACCTTAATTTCTTCATTCTTAATTTCTTCATAAAACAAGGGATTTAAAATAGATGGTGTCTAAAGGTGTATTCTAGTTCTAGAATATACCGTGCTTGCTTTTAAAAGCTAACATGTTTTGTCTACTGTCCTTTCCATACATATGTTCCCTTAGAAAAGACTCAAATGATAGACACAGTGAAGTAGTGGGATTTCAGATCATCTTTTTAAATTGCTCTTTCCAGTACTTTTCCTAGTTCTCTATATTATTCAGGTACCACTATTGGATTTAGAAAGATAGGTGTTATAATATTATAAAAATAACTATATTATATAAAAAATCTAAACCCAGAAGTATAGTGGTTCTCTATTGAGAATCAACTTAAGAGCTTTTAGAAATATCAATACCTAGGCCATACTTGGAGATTCTGATTGTTTTGCTTAGAGCAGGTCCTGGGCAGCAGCAGATGTTTTGGTTTTTTACCAGGGGAGGTTTACCACTGAGCTACACTCCCAATCATACTGTTTTTTATCTTGAAACAGGGTCTTGCTAAATTGCTGAGACTGGCCTTAAACTTTTGATCCTCTGTCTCAGCCWCCCAATTGGCTGGGATTACAAGCATGCACCACCATGCCTGGCTGGACATCAGTATTTTTTAAAGCTCTCCAGGTGATATTGCTATGTAGCAAGGATCCAAAATTGCTCACCTAAGGCATTTTATTGCTCTAAAATAACAGGGTGCGAATAGTTACAAAGAGTAATTCAAGCAAATGGTCAGTTTTTGAGAGCCTCATTATGTGCCTAACTGGATTAAACATGAATTGGAAGATAATGGGAATATGAAACTAAAATAAATATTAAATTTACTTTATGCCTTTGAGCAAATATGATGTTAATTAAAGAAAGTAAAAGATAAAGCATGATTCCATAGCTGTCATGAATTTCCTCATTTGACTTTTGTTATTTGTGCCATTTACACATTTTTTGTGTTTATTTTTTTATCTCATACTCCTTCCTAGGAATCAAAGAAGCTATTTAATGCCATGTTCCTCTGACAAATAGCATTTAAGCTGAAACCTGAATAATGAATTTTATTTATTCAAAGTATCTGATTTGCAAGAACAGATCCCTTTTGGTTATGGGGAGAAAAGTCTTTCTTAATCTATACAGTTTGACATTATCTCTATAAAAATTGTAGTTTGCTCTTCTTCCTGGTCCAACAAATTTGGCTCTGGAATCTCCTAAACTTTTCCAGTTAAAATGGGTTTCCATTGCAAATTCTAGATATTTTAACTCTACTATCATTATTGCCTTCTGAAAAGTTTATTCTGTGTCAGTAGCAGGGCTTTAACAAGAAGAAATTCCCCTCCCATTTATTCTTTTTGTATTTTCAAACCCACTTAGTGAAAAAAATTGTTCAGTTCTACCTTGTTAGTTACTATTGGGTTGCCATGTAATTTCTATGCATATTAATTAATGATGTTAATTAAAGAAAGTAAAAGATAAAGCATGATTCCATAGCTTTTTTCTTCAAATTTTGGTTTATTGATCTGCAGTGTCATAAAATGCCCCTATCAGTAAATATGTGCACTAGTAGTGTGGTGCTTGGAGAAGTTGCTGGTTTAGTAATTCCATTCTTTTTTAGCAACTGCCTTCTCTTTATTTCAGAAGGGCTGTTGTGCAATTCACATTTAACAGGTTCCCATTATAGTAAGCTTCCCTCCAGCACTGGCTTAGGAAGCTGGGAAGATTGCCATTCCCACAGATCCCATTAAAGGATAAGAATGACAACCATAGC